TAATGATAAAATAAACTTTAACCAATTTTAGGTCTTCCTGAACAAACCACTGAGAAAACCACTACAAAACCTTATGTAAGACTTGCTGTTCTTCCCATGCTTGTCTGCACCATAGTCCACAGAGTTAATGTGGTCATTAATCAGACAGCATGGTTTTGCCCTTCAAAGGCACTTCCATGCCTTATGCTGCCAAGTGGGTATCTGTCTGTCAAGAACAGTTGTGGCAGCTTATTTGGTGCCCAGTTGGATATTTCAGAGCATCCAATAGAACAGATACAACCTCAGCCAGAAAGTTGTTGCACTAACTGACATGAAGTAGTTGGGAGAATCACAATTGCTGAACTGGAACTAAGCATTGGATCATTTCAAAATACAATATTTACAAGAAAGGAATGAACAGGCAGTTTTGGTTTAAAGTTGATAACTCAATCCCTATTCAGGCATGATCCCAAAGGTAAATACGTACAGATTTAGTCACTGTGAACAAAATTAATTTTAACAGCAGTTGAACTGAACAATTCAGAGCTGAGAAGAAAAAGTTCTTTTGAGACTGTGCCTTTCAGAATTTCCTTTAAGCCGAGAAAATCATTTTCAGGAGAAAAAAGTGGAGAAGTTTGAATTGCACCTAAACCAGGAAGGTTCCGGTCCTCACTAGTGAGCATGCACCAAAGAATGTTACTCTAATTAGTCTGATCATGCTTATTAATTATACAGAACAAGGTAATCTGGCCTCAGCATGGGCAGCATGTTTCCTCACTGGTGTAGGATTGCAAAAGCCTGAGTGTTTTATTTGCAGTATTGAATGTCTGTGCTGTGTGATACCAAACCAGGCCGTAATGTAAGACATCTGCCCTATGGCTTTGGTTAATTTATACAAGTAGTCATTATGCCCAGCTCTAGCACTCTTTGTCATTCTCAAGTTTTCTCAATTACAATTCTATATATTGTATTTCTATTATATTTATAATATTTCTAAACATTGTTGAATAGCATTAGGCCTGTGGGCTGTGCCCCCCAAATGGTTCTGCAGATGCACCTGACATTGCTTCTGCCTCATGCATCAATCAAAGCATAAGGGGGAGAGGAGCAGAAATAGAAGTGAGCAGGCCCGGCTATCGTCACTCATGCAAGGGCACTCTGCAGCTCGTGTTTAGAAAGGACAAAACCCCAACAATGCCCGGCCCAGCTCGTCAGAAGCGATCACATCAAAGCCGTGATCTCAATGAGAGCCAGTGAGATGTGGCTGCTGGAAGTGACTGCAGCATTGTCCGTGCTCACCCACACAGCAGGGCTGGGCTGCGGGGCAGCTGGGGCTGCGGGGCAGCCGTGCCTGGGGCTGCCAAGCCTTCCGAGCCTCTTGTGCCTCTGAGCAGGGACGGATGGATGGACAAACAGACTGGTTTGCCTGGGGCACCAGAGCCCCTCTCCCTGCCTCCTGTGACCCACTGGGGACTGAGGGGAGGTGTGACACTGTCATGAGCACCAGGGCAGCTGTGTGCCAGTAAAGGGACTTCTGCCCCTGCTGCAGGCACTCGGGGCTGGACTCACAGGCCTGAATCTGGGAAACCTGGAAGGGACCAAAGAGGAAGAACCTTCTGGGTAGCAGCAGTTCACTTGGGTGCCTTCCTGGAATGATGTCACAATGTGAACTAAGATGTTTTGTGGTTTAAGAGGTTTCAAAAAGGCTTCAAATTTCTTAGAATTTTGGCATTCTTATTTTTCCTGAGATCATGAGGTTTGATGAGGATGGGGAATCATAAATTCCTGAGTTAAGACTTCTGAGGGTGTAATACTTCAAAGCAGGAAAACACATCTCTAGCCTGTATACTGGGGAAAGAGATGGCTGAGCAGGAAGGAGAAGCCAACCTGTAAACAGGAACAGCTCAGGTAACTCTTGTAGTCCTTTAATTAACACTTCTAGTCTCCGGAGCCCAGTTTTGGTGGCTGTTTAACTAGTTCAGAGGGATTGGGACTGTGACTGTTGTACTGTGGGGATTTGCTTGAAAAACACTCAAAATAGCAGGGGAAAAAAGTAAACTGAGAGCAGTGGCATAGTGTCAGCTTCATCAGGGTTCTGCTGTGCATGGGGTCAATTGCCAAACCTGCTAATGCAGAGTGAAGATTAATTGGCTTTGGTCAGCTTTTGCTTCACTATCTGAATATCATTATCAGGAACGTAAATGATTATGCAATGCAGAGAAATGCCACAATAGTCTCAGTGTCTCCTTTTATACTTGTCTCTTTGTGAACAGGGCTTTATCTAAATGCAAATGTGATTTCAGCCTTCTGATTAGGACATTATACAGTCATCCATTCCAGAAAAGCACAATTAGCGGATTATTTTATTTCTGACTCAACAGTTCTTGGTGTAGATCGTTTGTTTGTTGTGCTGTGCATGATATTTAAGTTTTCAGAGGGAGATTTACAATATTAGTCAGGATTATAGCCAGATTTTGTGAGGTTGAGAGTTTTTACATGGCAGATAAAACTGGTAACATTTGTGGGATTCGAGGGGAAATGTTTTCAGAACAAAAGGCAACAGTGCAGATTCTTCCTGTGCTTCATTGTCCTTTTTGTGCCGAGGAAGGGGCAAATCACAGTAGAGGCTATGCAGATTCTCCAGTGCATCTGGGTGCACAGGAGGAGGTGTAGCATTACCTGTTGTCAGGATCTAGTCCCTTTGAGGTGTGCTTGTACAGGGTACCAGTATCTTACAACTTAACAGTGGGCAAGTCATGAGATTATTTCTTATTAAACAACCACTTTACGAAAATAGCCATCATTTTCCATGTGCTGTGGTAGATTTCCAGTGAAGTTTTCACTGGATGAAGTTACATCCTAAGAGAAGCAAAAATCTTTGGTGATAAACTTCCATGTGAAGCTTGTTATATCACAGCATTTGTAGCATTTTTGGAGCTGTGTATCTGTCAGAACTGGTTTGGTTTTTAAATTTGAATACGAGAGCTTCATAGGAGTTTAGGTTTGATAATAGATGGGGTGAAAATTTCCATCTTCAAACCTTTTAGAATGTCCAGTATTCATGAAAGGCAAAGGATTTTTCCCCCCCCAAAAAAAAATTATCTGTGCAAATGTATTTGTCAGCCAATTTGAATTCAACAGCTCATCATTTTCCCATGAAAAATTACTGCAGTGGAAAATTCCTAATTATCTGTAGTGAAACATTTTCAATTCCATTGATCAGTTTCATCTTTCTATATCCATATGTTTCCATGACTGGTTCCTTCCTCTCTCCCAGAGCTCCTGTTCTGTGTGCTGGAGCAAGCTGTCCTGGACAGTCCCAGCACAAGAGGGATTTTTGCATTTGTGACAGGAAATCTATTGCACCACTTAGGTTTAATTAGAGCACAGTGACATATGATGAGTTTACACATCAAAGCCTAGAAACAACTTCACAAATTGGCTCTGGTCCCAAAGTGTATTTTGGCATCTGTATTGAATTTTGGGATGTTTCACTGTATTAAATGGGAATATGTGAAATGCCGGGATGGGTTCTTAGGGTCAGTGGAATTACACAAATTCTTACCAGCCAAGAATATAGCCCAAAAAACTTGCGTGTAAAGTTAAATTTGGACTCAGATCAATTTGAATCCAGCTACATATTCCAGTTTTCTGTATTGGATGATAAAACTTCTCTCTCTGATGGAGGGAAGGGCAGGGAATAATTCAGTCTATATGTTAGGAGTCATATTTTGGAGTTGCTTGTCTTTCTGCTGCTTGAAGGGGAATGCAGGGATCTCTCAGCTGACTGTTGGGCATGTAATCACCTCCCATACTTGAATGCCACAGTGAAATGAATCCAAACCAAAAATGCATGGAGTTGATGCCCAGCATATATTTCACTGCAAAGAGAAAAGGATCTTTTACAGAAAAAAAAATCGGAAGAAAACAAGAGATGAATGTGTTGAAGTTTGGTGGTATTTTGATCCCATTATGATGGGCATTTATAGGAGCATAGAGAAGATATTTTCCCCACTGCAACAAGATTTAGTCTGTGCAAATATACAGCCCAGGCATGTAATAGCTGTCGTGATGTACTCTGAAATACATTTGGCTAAAGGACTTAAATTACTTAAGAAAAAGGAAAAAAATATTTCAAATAATGAGTAGGTATCATAATGGTGCTAAAACAATGGCATGCACCTACTTCATTATTCAGTTGCTTATTTATTATTTTTATTCTTAAGAGTAATGATGTAAAAAGTGCCTTTTCCCAAATGTTAATTTAGTTCTTTGCAGATGGCAACCATCTGTTAAATGACAAGGCATTTACAGTCTTTGATTAGCACTTTATAGGACTTGGATGGACTTACTGTTACGACATGTAAATATAGTTATGTACGTGAAACTTGGTAGATTTGTTCTTTTCCTGTTGCTGTTACCAATACATATAAAATTTCAAACCTAGCAATATTTTTTTTCCTATCTTCTCCTATATTTATCTGTGTTGTTTCCAGCTGGAGGTTTGAAACTCTTGACAGAATGACAGAATAGGAAATATTGTTAAATTCGAGCACCATTTGTAGCCATTATGAGCATCCTCATTCTAAAAAGACACCATGTGGATGAACTCCTAGGGATGCTCAAGGAAAGCACTGGAAGTTTGAGGGACTTTAAGGATCCTGGCTTAGCAAGTAGGAACCTCGCAGTGGGCTGGGATACAGGTTTGGGTTCTCCCCAAAAGTCACACTGGCAGTCTGTCTGTAAAACACTGTGGCTCATGTGGCTATTCCCATCACAGAGTGATCCTCTGGAGTGAGCTCTGCACTTTACTCCCTGGAGCAGTGACGGCCAGCCCCCATCTGTCCATAAACTCAGCAAGTTCTCATTCATTTCGTGTTGGGGTTTATTCTAAAGCTTCTGCAGGCTCTGCTGCCGCGCCTCAGTGTGCCAGCCCTGCTCTCGTTGTGCATATCACTTGCGCTTGTATTTCCGTGCTGTCGGTGATGCTGAGGGCTGTTACGGTTTGTCGTGTGTTGCAGAGCCGCCGCGGCCCGGCCATGTCCCCGCTGCCGGAGGCGCAGCTGGTGCGCAGCTCGGTGCAGCTGTACCGGTACCTGCTGCGCTGCTGCCGCCGCCTGCCTCCGGGGCCCGTCCAGCAGCACTACAGACACGCCATCCGGCAGGTGCGTGCAGCCCCGGGCCCTGAACCAGCGCAAACTGCTCTCCTGCGAGCTCCACACCCGCCACCTTTGAAGGGTTACAGTGGGAGTGTGTGAAGGACCATTTCTTTTTGTTTGCTTTGAATCTGAAACCTATTTTTCTTGGCTTTCATCTCTAATTCTTGTGTTAGTCAAGAGAGTGAACAGTCATTACTTACTCCATAAACACATCTTTTATGGTGAAACCCACTGGTTCCATGTCAGTCATTCATATATCCCCCCATCGGGGTAAATCTCATCTGGCTGTTCATATTCTATACTTCATATGGAAGTAATTTCATGCCTTTGATCATACCTGTTGTCCTGTTTCTAGTTTTAACATACCAGGCAATTTCAATTGTTTTGAATTGAAGTTCTCTGGGCTTTTTGTTGTTGATGTATGAAAGGAGTAGAATACTTAACATGAAATTCCATATGACCAGATTTGTTATGGAAAGAGGATGGCCAGGTGTCAGAATGTGTGGTTTTACCTTTTTAGACCAACAGTTTATTTGCAACAAATATTCTTCTGATATTTAAATGCTATCTTTATTTTGACAACTGTTGTCTTGACAAGTCAGTGACACTTGGAATGTTGCAGAGTTTCAAAGTCCATGCTGATGAAGATGATCCTGAGCGAATCCAGCAGATTATTAAGAGAGCCATTGAAGATGCTGACTGGGTGATGAATAAAGTAAGTTCTTCAGATTGTCTGCATTTTGGTTTCAGTTCAGAGCAAAGAAGAAAACATTGGAAACCAAGTTCTGAATAGCAAATTGTTGTCCTGGATGTTGAAGTCTCTGGTTGAAAGGAAATACCCAGCCAGGAGGGATCTGTGGTTGACATTTTTAGTTTAAAAATTCTCTTAGTCAGTATAAACTAATTATGGGGTTTTTTTCAGAACCAGTAACAATTTAGGCTGGTCTCTGTGTCTTTGTTTCCATGAAGAATTCTATTAAAATATCAGCAGTCGTGGCTATTATCACTCAATTAAAGGAGAAAAAATTAAAATACAGCATTTTACAAGCCATGTCTTGATATGCATCATCTGCTTTCCTAACAGCATCTATCCTCAGACAATTTAGAGGAACTTCCAGAACTACTGTTGGTTTTCCTCAGAGCTTGCCCATGGCTGCAGAGATCAGGGATAGCCCACACAGTTTCAAAGCCCCTGTGCACAGTTGTCACCCAGTGGATCTGCCCCTGTGCTGTCAGACTGGTTTCTCAGATGAAAGAATGAGGATGGTTTCCGCTAGACAGCTGAGAGTCACCTGTGCTTCCTGGGATTTCAGTCTGGCTGGGAGTGTGATACCTTAACATGGTTAAACAAGTCAAAAGTCCAACTTTCTCTCTAAATATCTGTGATTTAATTTACTAAGTGACTGTTAAGTCCTTCTCTCTGCCAGTCCATGAAATCCAAATGAGAATTGCTACAGGAGCAAGCACAGATTAGTCACAGATTATGATATTTTAGTGGTAATCAAATCCCAGCAGGTACAATCTAGTCAATAACTGTGCCTGATTTATTGTTTCATACTGCAAAGGGAAAGCCTACCAAATTTCAGTCTGCCTTAAAGAAAATGGACATAAATTTATGTGGATCATGAAGAAGAGTTGTAAATCCTTGTTGGTATGAACTTCTACTTAGTTATGTGCTCACTCCTACAATTTTTTTTTTTTTTTCAGTATAAAAACCAGAAGTAGAAGAGGAAGGATGAAACCAAGGAAGACATTGGTAAACATCCTTAGAGGACTTTCAGTCAAGCCCAGTACTATATTAGAATTATTGCTTGAAGTTTTCTCTTGGATAATACAAATACAATAACTTATATTTCACTGGGATGTAATGAAGCTAAATTAATTTTTCTGAAGAAATTGAATTTTGTAAATTGCTTTGTATAATCACAAACTTCTAAGTTAAAGCCCAAGCTTGCCTAACATTTGAGTACCTTATTTCATTACACTGTTAGGCCTGGATCAATGGGGTGTGATAACGCTTGTTGTGCAGGCTCTTTGGGGACAAGGCTCCCCTGCATCAGTCACCGTGGATTTGGGGACTGAGCATTTCATCCTGTGTGTGTGTGACACTGGCCATGGCTGGCACTCTGCTGGGTCACATCAGCCTCTGCTGGGATGGTCCTTGTTGTCAGAGTGCCCGTTCGGCCGGGTCCGTGCCCGTTCAGCCGGGTCCGTGCCCGTTCAGCCGGGTCCGTGCCCGTTCGGCCGGGTCCGTGCCCGTTCAGCGGGGTCGGTGCCCGTTCAGCCGGGTCGGTGCCCGTTCAGCCGGGTCCGTGCCCGTTCGGCCGGGTCCGTGCCCGTTCGGCCGGGTCCGTGCCCGTTCAGCCGGGTCCGTGCCCGTTCGGCCGGGTCCGTGCCCGTTCAGCGGGGTCCGTGCCCCAGACGGCGCAGTCACCGCCTGCGCGATGCTCTGCAGCTCAGAGGCTTGAGAAGGCCTTGCAGCACATAACAAGTGTCCCTCCGACAGGGAGTCGGTGTCCCGGTGCACAGCCCGCCCTGCCGGTGCCGGTGCCGGGCCGGTGTCCCCAGGGAGGGCGGCTCGGCGCTGCCCGCCCGGCTGCAGTGGCGGCGGGCCGCCGGCAGGTGGCGGTGCAGAGATGAGCGCCGGGCTCGGAGTCTGGCCCGACCGCGGCAGAAATGGGGCTGCCGCTGACATTCAGAAAGCATTGCGTCAAAAACCTTCCTTTTCTCTGCTAACCCTCCTCTCCTGGAACTCCTGCTCCCTGTTACACTTCCCTCTGCCATCGTCACTACTGTTCCTCTCTCTACTCCCTTGTCTTCCACATCACCCCTATGCACCCTTAACTTTTGTTGTCTTTGTTTTACCTATTCCTTAATGCTGTTCTCATCTTGCCTCTCTACCTCCCTTATTTCTCTTTCTCAAGTCCTTTTCTCCACCAGATGACACTCAGTATTTTGCTGGAGCCAGCCTTCTGCTTAACTTCAGGTAAAGCAGGAAGGTAATAGACTTTCTCAACAGAGGAGGTGTTTTCCCATGTGAGGAAAGCCACTTGTCTTTCTACCTAGGTACATTTTTTTTTTTTTTTAATTGCAGCCATTCTGGTTTAAACTGTCAAAATAATTTTGTGCAAGGTAGAGCACAGAAAGCTTCAACCTTGGCAGCTGACAAGGAATATCCAATATGATCTTAAACACTAATAAAAAAATGTAAATGAGAACCTGAACTCTGAAAGGGGTTTTGGGCAGAGCTTCAATACTTTCAACCAAAATTATTATTCTAAAAACTTCTGCTCAGAAGTCATTTGACCCTGGAGTTGTCCAAATTTATCACTCACTGACCTGCCTGACCTGAGAGTTACACAGTGAGTTCTCTTTACCTGTGTTTAAGCAGCTCTCTGCCACCCAGCCCTGCTGAGCCTGAAGAGCTGTTCCCTAGTCCCTTGGTGCTGCTGTGCTGGCAATTACTGCCCTCGGTGACAAAGGCACAGTCACAGGCAGCATCCTCTGGGGTTCTGCTGTGGCAATTGGGTAGAAAATAGCAACCCCAAATAGACTGGAGCACTTGTGTTCCCATTTTCAGTCCTCCAGAATCTCTGACCATAAAGATGGTGGGTAAATGAGGCTGTGTTGTGTTCTATAATTATTTTTGAAGAGTTTAAAAAACTCATGATGCTCATGAGGCTGCTGACAGAGCAGTAAAAGGAAACAAGTGTGTTCATAGGCTTCAGTTTCTTTTACTGCAATGAGGAACCCATTTCTGTGCCAATTCTGGTGAGTGATGAGCTGTTGATAGGTGATTGCAGTAACCCAAAAACAGAGACAAAAACACTTTTGCAGCTGGTTCCAATGGGATCTTGAGTCAATAACTTCTCCTAGGTACTCCACAGTTAGGAGTTGAGCAAAGTTAACAGTTCAAATGTTGTATGCAGGCAACTCTTGATTAAGGTAGTGAGGGTTTAAGTGGAGGCTTGTTATGCAAGAGCAAGACAAACATTAGAACAAGTAAAGACAGTGGGAAACTTCTGATTAATAAAGTGATACCATGCTTTGCATTCTTGAAGTAAGGAGAATTAATAATTTAAATCACTCTACAGACTTACCAATGTCCAGTCTAACCAGAACCAACACTGGTGCTATACTTTCTGTTTTGTGTATACACAGCCTTGGAAACCTAACGCTGAAACTGTGTGTGAATAATCTGTACGTTACAAATATGGAAGTAACATGTCAAAAGATGGAACAGTAGCAGTGGGTTGGTCAATATATTTTTAGTGTTTATGTTCCTGCTGTCAAGTCCACAGAGAAATGGTAAAGACCACCTTGGTTATTACCAGCCTTGGAGCTTGATGCAGAAGCTTCCTGTGTAGTGAAAATATTTTCCTTTTATTTATTTTTGTAATTCATTTATTCATTTCAGGTTTTGGTATGGACAAGATTGTAAATTCATGTTTTATGTAATATCCAGGATAGCATTCTGCCCTTCACGTGGCCAGAGACAAATACACTTCTGATCACATTCTTGTGTCAGAAGTGTTACTGATTTCCATTCACACTCACCACCAAAGTCATTTGAGCCCTATGGGTACTGAATAGAATATTTCCAACCCAGGCCAGGCCTTGATTAGCACCATTTGTCAGTAATGGAATATTCTTTAAATAATTCTTTAGCACTTAGTAAACTTCCTCACGTGGTGGGTTATGTCACAGGCATTGCTTTTTGTTTAGGGGCACTTGATCATGAGGACTTGATGCTAAACAAAAACCTCTCCTCCATGGTGTTTGGCTCATTTTCAAATGTCATAAGGAAGTAATCTTTACTGTGATGCTGTAAGGAAGAGGAATACACGCTATTTCTGGGAGAAACAAATAATACTCTCTCACATCTTTTTTAGAGGAAACAGTTTCTTATTTATAAAACCTTTTAGCATAGCATTATAAATTGTGCCTTCATAGAAAGCTTTGATAAGCTGCAAATTGAACAGGCAGCGCATCTGTGAGTCTTAAATACTCAATATCATAGTACTTATTAAGAGTGAGAGTCCTGTAAGACTGCTCTAACTGTAAGTCAGTAGAGCTTTATGGTCCACAGTGTCATGTCCCTCAGTGTCACCCTAAAGACAGGGGTGATTTGGGGTGAGCAGGGTCTTGGTCAGAGCAGTCTAAAGCAAGCCCCTGACACACAACACTGCTGGACACAGACCTGCACTGCCCACTTGGTCTGTCCCTTTCCTGCAGCATTGCCTGCTGCTCAGAACTGATGTACCTCTGCTGGAGCACGAGCCAGCTGGGGCATCTTTCAAGCTTTGTATTATTTGATTAATTTATCTTATACTTCTGTCAAGCCAGGTTTTATGAAATAGTGTTAACTGAAGTATACACCGGTCATCAAGTACTCCTTTCAGCTTGTGATTAAGCAGGGCAGACACATTAACTTTAAAAGAAAACCCTGTTCTTTGAGGACTATTTTCTCATAATTGTGTTTTCCTCATAATTGTGTTTGATATTTAAAATAGTTTTTTAGAAGTTTAGAAGCAGAGGGAGGCATCTGTCACTTGTGCCTAAGAGCTTAACAGTGTTTGTGTTTGTCACTGGGGGAGAGGTCCCTGGCATTGCTCACTGCACCTGTAGAGTCTGAAGAGGAAGGTTCTGGGACTGCTGTTTGCTGTCCTTACCTGTGGACACTGAACTTAACCCTTCTGTAACTATCAGCCTGGGTGATTTTCCTCCAGAAGAATCTGCCTTCATGTTCTGCATGAATCCATTCTGAAAAGGATTAATTTGGATTTTGTTTTTTAATCAGCAGCTTCTGAGCCAGCTTGGTTTGGGTGCTTCACAGAATCATTCAGGCAAAAGACTTCCAACCCATGGAGTGTCAGCTGTGCCAAATCCCCACCTTGTCCCCAGCCCAGAGCACTGAGTGCCACATCCAGGCCTCCCTTGGACACCTGCAGGGATGGGCGCTCCAAACCTCCCTGGCCAGCCCCTGCCAATGCTTGACAACCCTTTCCGTGAAGAAACTCCTTCTGATGTCCAACCTGAACCTCGCCTCCCCTGGCACAGCTTGAGCCTATATCACTACCCCATATTAAATACTTTATTTCAGCTGCAGCTGCACAACTTCAGACTGAGTGGCCTCATTACCTTTGGGCTTCCTTCTGCTGGGGTTCTGCATCATCTGTTTAAAAAACATTGCACTTAATATCTTTATATCGTTACACCTTATATTTTGCACCATGTCTGGTATTCATTCTTGTTGAGAGGAGTTTAAAACTGCTGGTGTTTTGATTAATATTCTCCCCTTCCACAGAATGGATTTTAAAAGATGCAAAATTGACAATAAATTCTTGTGGCTCATGAGGTTGACTCATGTTCTGCATTAAGTAAAATTACACAGGATCTGGGATTTTCTCAGTCTTGCTTCAATTTCTTAGCAGTCATTTCACCTACAGAAAGTAGGCTGTGTCTCAGCTAGTGTGAAACAAGGAACAAGGAAAACTGAAAACAACTGTCAAACAGAAGTTAGTCTGGAAAATATTGTGTCATGATGATGGGCACAGGCAAAGGTTGTATATTCTGGAGCCACTTTCCTTATACTGACTCAGTCTGGGGACTGACTTTTCATGCTTAAAAATAGAGTATTTAGTTTCCACAACTATGCAACTGCAAGGACTGCTTTCTCTTTTATTTTCTGTTTTTCCCTCCCATTTCTAGAGGCCACATAAATGTTGTGTTAAACCACAGTTTACAGTACAGAATGCAGACACCTGTTTAGTCTTAAAACTTTCTCTCCCCCAAGAGCTCTGTTGAGTTTGTCCTTTTTCTAGCTGGAAGTATCTCTCAGAGTACATTGCAGCTTTCTGGCCAAGATTTCAAAAGTAATTCTCAGATTGCTTTTGAGGTGCTTAACTCAGGAGACCTTTAAAAGGCACACAGCAGCTGTCAGGCAGGTTTGGACTCTGGGGACAAACAGCAGGAAATTGCTTATTCTCCACTAGCATGGCTTTGAGTTAGGGGGTACTGACGTGATAATGATCATTTTACAACTACTTCAGAAACATGGTTTAGAAATATCGAGGTCTCCAAATCCTGCTCCCAGCTGACAGAATAGAGCCTGTAGGATGTCACGGTGACACTATGCCAGGTCTGGTTATTTCTAATTGATTAAATGCACTGAAAAGGCATCCAGGGTTTGTTACAAAATTTGAGATGGAGAGCCAGTCCCTGCACTCTAACTTCATTATCCTCATAAGCAAAGGTGCAGATTTTATAGCTGGCATAATTAGACAAAGAATGTAAATAGTATGAGTGGCGTTTAGCATAAAATGTAACTTGAATGCAGTCCATGTCTGGTTGAGAGAGGAACAGAGCCACAAACCCTTTGATGTAACAACGAGGCTTTGACAGGAATAGATTGGGTACAGTACTGAACCTGTAATCTGCTCACTTTATTGCACTATATCAGGAGGGCCTTACTTATTTACTATGTAGGAAGTGTTTTCAATTTTATAAGTATCTGAAATAAATCACAGCTCGTAATTATGTAGCTTTGCTCCACAGAACTCCGTAACACTTGTAAGAACCTCTGGAATTCATAGGGACTGTGTTAAATGGGAGACACCAATCTTGCCTTTGTGCTCTATCAAATTCTGTCTTGGACTATACTAACAAAGGCAGTCTGGATATTGCTTATAAGGATGTTTACTTTCCATGCTGTTCTTGGATTCTGAGCCAAAGCCACTGGAATCAAAGGCAAAGACTCCCATGTACACTCCATGACTTCAGTAGTGTTCACCATCTTAAACCATTTTTCATACCTGGAACACTCAGAGGAGTGACCTGTGCTCAATCATAGTTACCAGAATTAAAAGTGAAACAGTTTTGTTTTTTCAATTTTACAAAACGTAGTGTCTGCAGCAGCCTGGGTGGACAAGTTCAAGAGATGGGTGTGATGCTGAAGGCAAATATTCCAGATATCAGCTTGGAATCTGGGCCCAAAGGCATGACTTTATGTGAAGGGAAGGCAGAAATAATTCTGAAGTTTCTTTGTCCAGTAATTAGTTGCTTTCTTTTCCCATGCTCATATGCTCTTTTGGAAAAATAAATATTAAAAATTCTGCTGCTGCCTTTAGTGCTGAAGAATTGCCTTCCTTTTTTCTTGTTTTCAACTTTATCAGTGTTAAATCCAGCAGTCTGTTTAAAAATAAGCTGATGGGTTTGCTAGGTAGTGTTTTATACTGTGCTCATTTGTTTGTCTCACCACTGGCTTGGGTCCTTCCTTCTCCACAGTGCACTCAATTTGCTGGTTAGTCAGGGATGGGGTGCTGTGTTTCCTGCAGAATTATCATCCACCTGGATAGGAACTTACTACAAGACCCTACCAAAACCATGCACAAGCTGTCATTTTTTACGTCCTTTTCCAAAGGTGGAAGAAACTTGAGAAGCCACCTTTTCTGCAATGGTTGTTCTACCAAGTCAAGACACAAACTGTGAGGATTTCTCTCTTATGAATGTGAAGTCATTGCAGTCATCTGTCTTTCACACATGCAGCTTTGCTCTTCCATTAAAAAGAAATGGGACTGCAGAAGCAAAAACATGGGTGAAAATTGGGATCAGAGATGTTACGTTGAATGAGGACTTTGACACTTCAGGGAAGTACAGAAACTGTTGGTTCCCAGAAACACCATAGGAAGAGGAGTGGTGTGTTCTTTTGGAGAATTATCAGATTGCAATTAAGTCTTCAAAGCTGGTACATGAGAAGAAAGAAGGAAATATCATAGTGGTTTTCAGCTTGTACTGGTCAGAGAAGTCTCTTGAGCTGTCCAAACCAACGGACAGTAAGTCACAGAAAATTCCCCTTTATTTTCCCTTCTGCCAGATTTCAGATGACTAAATCAAAGGTAATCATTATAAAAACAAGGTGAGGCAAGAATGTATTTTTGTCCAAGAAAGTTGATATTTCTGTCCTATAAATTACATACACATTCTGCATCAGCTCCTCTTGTTTTGGAGGCTGTGGTCCAAATACCCCTCACTGTAAGAGTTCGGTGAAACATTTAGACTGAATTAAGTAATTGTTTTGCATCTTATCCTTTCAGAAATTGAGACAAAAATTGTTATGGCTAATAATAGCACTTGCTAATTAATCTGTAACAATTCTTTGATGTGTGTACTAGGACTGTTTATTATAGATTAACCCCTGTGACTTAACCCACTCCATAAAGCGCCCATCACCTTCTAGAACCTGACCTTGTCAACACATATTCCTCCACATCTCTTTTTTGTATTTTCAGTAAGTGACTTTTCAAACTCCCAAGTGGTGTCCCCCATTCCAAAGGTAGCTTCGAAGACCATCCTCTCTGTCACTGTGGTCAACAGTTGTCTCAATCAACAGCGTGTTTGTTCACTGAATGAAAACCAAGCTAAATACTATGTCCCTAGCCTGGAATTCCTATAGAAGGAGAGGAGGAAAAGCATCATCAGTGGAGGCCATCAAGGTGACTGGGGCTGGGGCACGGTGCTGCCTCATGAGGGGAGGCTGGAGGAGCAGCCTTCCAGTGGCTTTCAGGTCACTGGGGAGATGGAGCCAGGTTCTTTGCAGGGCTGGGAAGATGAGAACTAATTGAGCTGGACTTGCAGCTCCAAATCAGTGAAAACTGACTAAAAATACTCTGAAGAATGTGTCATGGAAATTGTCTTTTCTAATAGGGGAAGGTAGATAGTTGCTAGAGAAGGAGCTGTAAGCTCACACCCCACACCCTCTGGCACCACTTCCATGTCAGGAAGGGCAGAGGGGAGGCAATTTCACTCTCATGGAAAGTTTTGAAAATGTGGTGTAATTCATGCATACACTGAAAGTTGTGCAGGCATAGGCAAGACTGGCCTAACTGTAATGTTTAGCAAGGACTCCTTAAAAACAATTGAGGCAGTAAAATGGTGCATATCGATAAAGCAGAGCCATAAAATTACCTGAGAAAACCCCTGTCTCCATGCAGGAAACATGGAAAGTGGGTCAGCATGCTTTGGTTTTGTGTAGACTAAGGTACACTGTCCAAAGTGTGACACTTGAATGTGCAGGAAGCAACTGGGTAGAAAAAGGCAGGTGTAAGGAAAGGAGACTCAGAGGTCACCAATAAAGAGAAACTCACACATTTTACTGTTCCAACAGTGCTGTGTGTTGTGGAGTAAAAACACCAACGTTTTTAATTCAGAACTCAACTTACTTCTATACTTCAATATTCTGTTCTTCATCTAGGCCCAGAAATTTATGGGTTGTTTTTTCAAAACCAGTATTCAAATCTCTTCTGTTACCTCTCCTTGATTAGAGATTCTACTGGCCTCAGCCAGTGCTCTGTTACTGAGTTTCTTCTTCAGACCATGATTTTACTAAGGAAGACATTTGCAGCTCTGTAATTCACTGTTATTTTTCAAGCACAAAACTCTTATTTTTTTTCCTGTTCTGGTGTGACAAGCATGGATTGCAGGAGCAGAAGTACCAGACACTGTTCTATACCTTTTCCAGATCCACATGCCAGCTTTTCCTTATCTCTACAGAGGGACATCTTCAGTGTAGTTAAATGATGTCCAGGAGTGCAGGACACAGAGCCTAGCTTGTGACAGCCACATGCAGGACACCAGGGTTTAGGCCCAGTCAACTGTTAATTGCTATTTTGCTCTTTTTTTGCTGCAGTTTTGTCTTTGCTGCTGCAGCTGTGGCTGAGGATCTCAGGGGTGAGTCAGGAGGTGTCAGCAATCGCTTCTGTCTGAGCCAACGTGCAGCCAGGCACAACAAAATCTGGTTATTGACTGCCTTTGGTCCTCCCTCACTTCCTCATCCCTGGGAATTTTGGAGAGGTGACTGATGAGGGAATTCTGTTCTTTCTGCATGTCTGAGTGACCAAAACTGACAGCAAGCAGACAGGAAGGAATGGGTTTACCAGCACGTCTCTGCAAATTTAGCACTCTCCTTAACTTTCATTTTTGCCCTCAGATGGTCAGACTGGGAAATTTTCCACCCTGCCCTGCCATCATTTGACACTGAGTCTTCCACTGGAGAGCAGGACATGGTAAACAAAGCATTGCACTTTCCACACTAAACTGCTGCCTTAAACTTACCTTAAATCTGCAGAAACTGAAAAACAGTCCAGACTGGGCTGGGATCCTACTTTTATTTGCATGTTTTCAAGTGCCAAGGCCTGGATCTTTTGTTTTGCTTTTGGTGGAGTTATCTCCACTTTATCAGGAACATTTTGAAATAAGAAAGAAGCCTATGAGGAAGGGGCTACAGTTAATGGTGAATATCTTAAAGCCCTTAAAGGAATAGTCAGCAATCAGAACACAAATGGGGGGGAAAAAAAACCAAAAAAAGAGTTGCCATTGCAAAGTTTGGAGGAAGATTCAAACCAAACAAATTTTCTTTGGGGAGTGAAAAACCAAACCAGTGTAAAAGAAGATGGCTGATGGTAGTCGAGGAGATATTTGGGAGCAGCAATAGTTGTTATTAATTGTATGTTTGTCAGAAACCACCAGATGTGAGGGTAGTTTTAACAAATCTGAGATGTCGACTCTTTATAGGGACTGCAGTATTGTATTTATTGTGCTGTCACACAGAGCACTGCTGCAAGAGACATCTCAGACAATAGTAACATTGGTTAGGAAAAGAGAGTTAGAAAGAGTTCACTAATAACTATGAAATGTTGGGACAGTTGAATATTTCTTTGGGTTCCATGAAACTGGGAAGATCAGCCCTCCTTATCATCAACTTTGCCTCAGTGTCGTAGTTCTTTGAAGACTCAAAATGCCCTGATCTCAGAGGAGCAACCTTACAACCAGAGCTTGATTTGTAAATGTTTTCAGGAATATGACTGCTTGAGCTCATGCAGAATCTTGCAGATATGATGTATATTATAATATCAGACACAGAATATGACTCACTTGGAAGGAGATTGCAGAGAGCTGATTGTTGAAGCTACAAACCATCAGACACTCAGAAACAAAACAAAATTTAAGTCAAGATGACAGCATTGAATAGGTCAAAGTCTGTTCTGAAAGGGCACCTCTTTCATCAAAGTTAATGCAAGGAAAGCAACCAGTTTCTGCACTCTGATATGGCAGAGGAAGTTTCTGTTCAAGTGGGCAGAATTGGTTTTCTGAAGGAAAAACCTTCCTAGAATAGGAGGAACAGATTGAATAGAATAGGTAGAATATTTGTAGAAGGAGCGCCCAGTGAGCTTGTTTAGTTAATCTCTGATCCACCTGAGGATTGAATGGTTCTCTGTTGTTCTTACTGTACAGAGGGAGTTTTATTATTGATTTCAAGTGAGTAAAATATCAGTAAAATATCAGGTCCTCTTTGAGCACTCTTTGAGTGATTAAGTTGTTCCCTGCATGCCTGTACCTGAGCCAATCCTTTTAACAATTCTCCTAAGGAAAGATGTTTCTCCTCCTCTAGTTATCCCAAATCTGATTTTTCATATTCAATCCCTACATAATCTTTCCTAGATTTCAGCATTCCCAAGCACAGGGAAATAAGGAGGGTGAATACTGAAAGCTTAGAACTCACAGAATTCAAATAAACTTCTACTAAGATAAGTTCTTTCTTATAGTACTAGACATTATGATTCCCCATGTTCTGTAGAAGAAAGAGGTTAATAAGAAAGGAAAGGATGAAAAGAGAATTTTTAAAACCCTGTTACAAAGCAGCGATACAAAAGAAAAATGTAAAGGCAGAATTTTCTGGCATGGCATTGATTAGCACAGCTCTCACACATTGTTTCTGCCTGCTGATTACATCTGCCTGATGACTGGAATATTTTAAACAAAGGGATTCACCTGCTAATTCTGGTGAGAAAAAAGGAACCACATTAAAGAAAAATCCCAACTGTGAAAATTCATGAGCAGTGGATGCTAAGCAGCACAGGCTTGATAAAGCCAAGCAGATGAATGCTCAGAAAACTCAGGTCTGTTTATCAAGAGATTCATCTCTAGCAATCCTGGGTGGGATGCATACAGAGGATCTCGTGCATGAACACGTGTGCACAGCACTTGCTTTACCTCTACAAATGTTTTACATAGTCATCTAATATTCATTTTCAAATAGAGAAGCTAGACACATAGAGAAGAAAACACCTTGCCCAAGCTTGCCCGGTAAAAGAGTGATGGATGAGAAAAGAACACACGTTTCTTCATTTCTCTGGTTGCTTTATGCCTCATTTCTGAAGATCTTTGGTCAGCAGCTGCAAATCTTTCCCTAGTTATCCATGTGCCTTATTTTATTCATATTATTCAGCAGATTTATTAGTCATCTTTAATTTGTAAACAGTTTCCTTAAAATAGCCATACATAATATCAAGAAACAAATAAGGCAGGTCAAAATCCTGGCATCAGACTTGTGAGCTGCAGGTGCCTGACAGCACTGGGCACTGCTGCCAGCCCTGTCCCGAGGGGGTTCTGCCTTCCAGGCTGCAGGGAGGAGCCTGGTTCTGTAAAAGGTACATGTCCACATGTTGTCTGACATTGAAAATCAGCTCAGCAATCCCATCTTCCTCATCCATCTGTCCCTCTGGTATTCCCACATACAGCATGGTGGAAATGGCTTGTACTTCAGAAAGTTGTGGTTTCCTTCCAGTATTCCCAATACTTTGGAAAAGGCACCAAGGGACAAATCTTACAGGCGGCAGCTACAGGCAGAGCAGGGAGCTCTGGAGAGCAAGAAATTCTACAAATACTCTACTGAGAAAGATCCTTTCAAACTTTATAAAAAGTAAGGAAGTATGTGTAGGTGAAACTTAAAATACCTGTCCTTAGTTATAAGCACGTGGTTAAATGCTTTCCTGGCCTGTACTGTAAAGCTCTACAGCTCTGTAACATTTCTCTTAAAGTTGCTCACTCTCTTCCTACAGCCACGGGAGGTGTACAGGAGGGTGCCTGGAGACTGGCCACACAGGGATAAAAGCTGTAAGGAGCCCTTCAGCACTTATTTATTTTCATTTTAACACAGTGTGCAAGGCTGAAAGCAGCATTCAGTGTGATACCCTGCCCTTTCCAGGAGCACAAGCAGGGGTCAAGGCTGCAGCGTGCCGAGGGAAGGAAGGGATGCTGACAGCAGCAGGAGCTGCCTCCCTCCCTCACACAGGTTATGTAATGCTGTAACACAGCAGACACGCACCCTCCACTTCTCCAAGTGGACAGGAGAAGAACCAGGGGAATCCCCAATTGCACTAGCTATGTCCAGCCTTGCTCAGAGCTATTTTGCATACATGGTCTGCACTATAAAATGCTTTTGCCTCCTGGGAGGGATACAGAGCCTGAGAGGTGAAAGGCAAGAAACTTGGAGAGAGAGGAGTCTCTCCTGGCAGGGCTGGGACACCTCTCACCAAAGCACGGTAAGAAGCACCATGTCCAGGTGTTCATTCTGTCATTCATTTACTGCAGCTCACAGGCAGAGTAATTAGATGGCAAACTGTATCTTTTTTTCTGTATTAGGAGCAAAGTGTCAGACTCAGTCTCCTGCTCTAGTTCCAAGCTGTCCAGCTGCTCTTTGTCCCTTCTTTCTGCTGATTAAAAGGTTTGTACGTGAGACTGGTAACACTGACAGTGCTACCCACAGAACCCCACGGGGCAGGACACCAAGCAGCTTCTTGCTCTGAGTGCCAGTGAAGGGAAACGTGAGTCTGCTCTCTCTCTGTTTGCTTTTGCTTCTAATTTTTTCTGTTTATTATGATCTTTCTTGTTATTATTTTTCATCTTTTTCTTCCTTATGCTTGTTTTCTTCCTTTTCCTCCTTTTTCTACCTGTGTGTTTTTTATGTTTGTGTGAGGTTCCCTCTTTTTTTCTTTTTTTTCTTCTTTGTTTCTTTTTTTTCTTCCCCCTCTCCATTTCTTCTCTCTTTTTCCCTTATATTTTACAAAATTTTATAGGCACATCACAGCATTTTTTATTGCAGAATAATAATTTAGATTTTTTTTTCACATTTTGTAACTGCAGAGAAATGCTTATTACACATTATTTCTCTCACCTGGAGTAGCAAACAATCCTAACACCTTCCAGCTTCTGCACAGACAGATGGATTTCTCTTCTTGTGTGACATTACAGCAAAGTGTATCTTCAGAACTCAGCATAAATTTAACTTTTACCGTAAAAGTAATATAAATATCAAAATAAGACATAATTTACATCAGAAATATGTGACAATATCTATTTTCTTCCTTTGTCTCTAACTTCTTGGAAACATCAGGTTTTGATTTCTCTTATGAATCAGATTCAAATACTGGGGCTAATTCCCTCTATGCCTGCAATTTACTGGCTTTATCTTTCTCTTCTGTCACACCTTCCGTAGCACAAAATCCATCTTATGTTCAGAAGTGAGCAGAAAAGGTATGTTGAAATTAATAGCATAAACTTTGTACACTCTTATGTAAATGCTATGTGTTACATTGAAATAAGTGCTACAGATCTTAGAAACTGCAGACTTCAGCCTCTCAGAATCCTGTTTGTCTATGGCAGGTGGATACACTGCAAAATGGTTAGGTTCATATATGAACAAGATTTTTTCATTACTGTGTGAATAACACAGCAACATTTCACATCCCTTTTCTAAGCCTGTATTCTGCTCTGACACCAATATTTGCTGCTTTACACGACCAGGGGACATCTGATATCCTCTTGCCAGTGTTTTAGATTAGTACAGGGCTGCACATTACACTGACAAAGTGTTAGTTTTAGTGTCACTAGCCTAAGAATAGAGAATTTTCATTTTAAATGCAGGATGTTAGCTCAGTTAGGCTGGTGAGTTTCTGAAAGCTGTTAAAGGGAGTTGCCCTCTTGGGTAAAAACTGACCTTGTTGGGTTTTTTATGTCCTTAGAAGTGTTCCCACATCACACAAAACAAGGTTTCAGCACAGTGAAGTAAAACCACCAAAAAAACACATACGAAATGCTGTGCCCATGGCAGTTTGTGTTCAAATCTCGTGCTGCCAAGACCCAGTACCCCCAGGAGAAGGATATCAACAACAACGTGGAGAAAAATAGGAAGATCCATGGGTAAGATCCTGGTTTTTAACGGTCTCACAGTTTATCTTTGATTTGAAAAGGGAAGATATTAAGTGGTTTGGGTCCTGGAGAAACCTGTAATGTGTTTCCAAAATACTGTTATTAACCAAAGAACTGTGGGTCTCTGGGTGGTGTAACTTGGTAATGAACATTAAACACTTGTGTCAAAGTTAAACAGTCATTGAGGATATACATCATCTTGATTTCTCTTTCATAGTCTTAAATTTATTTGGTGTGTTAACATGGTTTCCTGTATTCTAAGTCTCAGGAGGTGTGAATGGTATAAAAATAGCAAAGTGATTATTTATACTATAATTAAGTTGGTGAAGTAGTTCTGTGATGCAGTTCATACACAACACTGTATAAAATAAGTTGCACATGCATCTTAAATTGTCTTCAGGGTGTTACTTATTTCAGGTTTCATACCCTGCCTTCCTTCCTTTCCTTCCACATAGTGCTGTGGGAAGAGGGGTACTATGGCTTTACTGCTGATTCCTGCCCACTGCCACTGCTGGGTTATGGGCTCAGTTACATTTCAGAGACAGCACTGAGCATCTCCTGCTGATGCTGAAAGCAAAGCCCAGCGTAAAGGATGTTGCCTTGAACTGACTGTTCTTTCTGTCTACTGAAGCTCAGAAAAGGATGATGCCAAGTTGCACAATCCGAGCAAGAAGCAGATGGAGAGGCTGCCTATCATAACTTCAGCAAAGCCCAGTGAGGGAGGAGAGGTCTGTTCCCAGCATCATGGTTTGATGGTAACAGTTCACATGGGTGGTGCTTGCTGCTCACAATTGCTCCACATTCTCCTGTGAGGTCTGACTGTGGTTGCAGGAGGTTGGGACTGCTGGGACATCTTTGGTGAAAGCTCTTTTCTGACAAAAATGTAGCATTGATAAGACTCAAAGGAAGAGGTGACTCCATGGGGACTGGATGCCTGATTCCTTTATATCCCTTTGCAAACCTTTGGTAACAAACCTGTCCTGTCTCTAAAATTGGTTCACTGTTTTCCTGAGACTGTGACTATAAAGCTCAGAGATACGCAGAGGACTTACTGAAATTATAAAGGTATTTGCAGTGGCAGAACCTACTTGATTAGTACAAGAATATTTTTTCCCCCATTTCATATCAAACTGTACATTAGCTCAGTAGTTTTGTAGTCAAATAATCATGTTGGAGCAGATCCCATTTACATCTAGTTTCTTGAATTTAAACTGAAATATTTTGATGTTAACATTAAATCTAAAATGAAACTGAAAGATATTCAATAGGTCTGAAGACAGTATGCATTTTTGTCTGTTCTATGCCCAGAATCTCCCTTCAAATGACATCAAACTTTCAAACCAAGTATCAGGATGTCCAAGACATGTAAGAGTAAGAAACTTGGAAAATGGATCCAGCTTTCTTGACACACTACACCTGACTGCAAAAGAGGTAAAATACGGAAATATGAATAGGGATTTTTCATTAATTTTAAAATATGCAGAGTGCAACATTGTTTGTTTGACATTTCATTGTTTTTCAGGTTATCAATTGCCAGACCAAAGCCTGCCAAGGGTCACTCATGACCCCAAAGGGCCTGGTGAGAGGTACCAGAGATGGGCCGGTTCCACTACAGGATCTTTTACCTCAGGCAATAGACTTCCTCAAGCAATACTACAGTTCATTTAAAGAGTAAGCAACTTGATTTTTGGGTATAAAATCCTCTGCCTATCTGTCTGTCTGTCAGGAGCGTTTGGTTTCTTCACAGCTCTTGATAACTCTCCTTTTACATAGCACACAATCAAATAATATGTAAGGACTGTTAAAAATGCCAGATAAAGCTGTCATTGCACTTCGTGTGCTCCATCTGCCAATCCAAGATCTTGGGAACACAGGGAAGGACTCTGGACCATGCACTCCTCAGCTCCATCCCTTTGGAGTGCGCTGCATTCCAGTACATTGAGGACTCTCTGCCAGAGTGTTAACCTTCTGTTTTCTTGGGATTGGCTGCACTCAGATCAGTCTCAGTGTGGATAATGCCTTTTGTTTGTGCTGTTTCAAGTATCTTTTCTCTGTGCTCCTCTCAAGGCTTTAGCCAAAGATTGGAAGGCCAGTGTTGCTTCTCACCCTTTCTCTGTGCTGTCGGCATAAGCTCCCTGAGCATTCTGAGAGGAGTTTGTGTTTTCACAAAAATGGCCATGGCACAGAGGCATCTTGTTGCAGGAAATGCTGGAACAGCTGGCTGATGTCCAAGGGCTTACAGTGACATTCCACATGATGAGCTTTCAAGCAACAGTTCAGTGTTTGCTCATCCCATTAGAAAACATTATCAAACTTTCAAAGGGACTCAGCCACATAATGGCCACTTATTTTGATACTTTGAACTCCTTTCAAATCCTTCTTCCCTCAGAATCTTTCTGAAAGTCCCTGTCTTACACACAGGCTGTCCTCACAAGCCTATTGCATTTGCACATCTCTGTGTCTCTCTGCTCATGGCTGTTTGATCACACTGATTTACACTATCTCATATGCTTGCCCTTGATCTTTCATCTTGCTGAAAATATGAAAACTCTCAGACAGTGCAGGCTATTTTCATTCTGTCTGTTAAGGCAACAAAACAACTTTTGTCTCTGCCGTGATAAATATTTTCTAATGTTTTGACTTCACTCTCTGTTATCAAACTCAAGAATTTTAGAGTTGGTTTCCCTGACAAAGGGAAATTGCTCAGCACTTCCCTTCAGAAATTAAAATCTTACTTACTTTACTCAGAAGAGCTGTGCCCTTGTAAACACAATGGATATTTGAGAGGACAGTCCCTCTCAGCCTACATGTGCCCTGAAACTCACCTGTTCTCTGGTTTTTGTTTCCTTGTGATTTTTTTCAAATTCCTCTAGAAAATCCAAATTTAACCCAAAAGCTTACACAGAATAGCTTGTGACCAATCCATGCATGTACTGGGTGGTGAAAGGATGGTGTCACTACTTAAATTTCTAGTGTTAGTTTCTTCATGGGGCCAATAAGTTCTGTTCTTGCACTCCATAAGGACAAGTCTTAAATTCTGAAGCCAAAATATAAAGAGAACATCTGCACTTTGAATGAAATTCTCATTGGTTCTTTTCCATGACTGTTTCCTGTTCAAAAGGCCAAAAATCAAAGAAGAGCTGGGCCGGCTGGAAGCAGTGACCAAGGAGATAGAAACAACAGGAACTTACCACCTGACAAAGGATGAGTTGGCCTTTGCTGCCAAGCAGGCCTGGAGGAATGCCCCCAGGTGCATTGGGAGGATCCAGTGGTCCAACCTGCAGGTGAGCTGTGGATTTACACCTAAGCTGTGGTAGTCCTCTGCTGTGGCTCGGAAGAGTGGCCTTTCCTTTGCTAGAACATGTCACTGTTTCAGTTGAGGAGGACTTCCTCCTGTCCATATCAGGAGATTGGTTTCTTTATAGTCCTCTGTTTCATGGCTGAAGGAAAATGTGTAGCAGTGTGAGTGTAGGAACTAGGTGTGTAATGGAACCAGATACATGTTTTGGTCCTTGGTGGATTGTTATGGGTCAAATGATGCATATAAGAACTATAAAAATTAACCTTTCCTAGTGGAGCCAAAATCTTTCCATTCCTTAAGTGCATAGGAAAAATAACAGCTTTGCATTACTGTTTCAAAATTAGTCTTTTTCTTTACGTTTCTGTTGGAAACACACAGGTGTTTGATGCACGAGACTGTAAAACAGCCAAGGAAATGTTTGAGCATATCTGTCATCATATTCAGTATGCCACAAACAATGGTAATATAAGGTAGGTCTCTAATTTTAATTTTAAACAACAAAAATCACATCCAGATCTGGCATCAAAAACACATGAAATGGTCTATCTAAACATTTTGACAACTTGTCTCTGCTCTTAATTTTCCTGATATTTACATTTTCCTCTCATATGTTCAATCAACCATCTTGAAAATGTATAACTTTCACAGCTGATGTTACAAAACCTTTTGCAATTCCTTAGGAAAAGGGATGACTTGAAGGTTTGGGGAGGTGGGTAAAGAGGATGAATGATTTTATTTCTACTGATGTTCATTTTATGAATGTAAAACGGTTTCTGTTGTGTGAACGAGGATGCGTTCTCTGTCCCGGGCAGGTCAGCCATCACGGTGTTCCCGCACAGGACGGACGGGCAGCACGATTTCCGTGTGTGGAACAGCCAGCTGATCCGCTACGCTGGCTACCAAATGTCAGATGGCTCTGTCCTTGGAGACCCTGCTGCTGTGGAGTTCACTCAGGTACAGCTCCAAACTCACCACCACAGCTGCTTCCCATCTTGGCTAACCCACCTCCCTGGGGCTCCTTCCTCCCATGTTTACTCAGAGTGGTAGGGAGGTGAGGAGTGAATGGGATGTTCTGCCCCAAAAGTTCCAGGTGCAGGCTGAAACAGTAATTTCCTACAGTTCTGATATAAAAGTGCTGCCCTCCATCTCAGAACAGGGTGAGCTAATACTGTCAGGGGACACAACCAGGCACACAACCAGTACTTCATCAGCATGGCTCAACATTGTTTGAATAGCAAAGAGAACCTTTTTCACTTAGCATTTACCTCAGCAGGTTTCAGAGGGTTAAAATTCATTTGTCTTCAGATCTGGAGGGGAAACCTGAAAAGAACACAAATGTGCTTTCTGTATTTGCAGTTGTGCATTGAACTTGGGTGGAAGCCGAAATATGGCCGCTTTGATGTACTTCCACTTGTTCTCCAAGCAAATGGCCAAGACCCAGAAATATTTGAATTACCTCCAGAAATTGTCCTCCAAGTGCCAATGGAGCATCCAAAGTAAGCACACAATATTTAGTTAATTGCATTTTTGCCTCTCCTGACCTTGGCAGGTTATTGGGCTGTGCCTGTGGCAGTTGTTTTATGAGTTCTTTGTCAGGATGAAATGATGGTAAATCATCCTGAAAGATAAAATGCCTGTTAGAACAATGAAATGAGATTTAAATTAAGGAAACAAATGACCATTTTGTTGGAAAACTCTTTTTCCAAATCTACATTTCAAGGATATTCAGAATTTTTAAAATCCTAATTTCTTATGGTAGTGTAATGCACATGTAACACTGCACTCGTAACAGTGTTTATTGGCTTTCTCTCATTGCTTTTTTCTTCCTGTTTGCTTTGGGACTGGCCTGCAGATTGCAGAACTCTGTAATGTGGTTCCGCAGTTCCTGTAGCTGGTGATTCCCAAATACTGCACTGAGAACTGCTGTTTTTGCAGACCCTGGTCCAGGGGTTCCTCCAAGAATTGGTACTCTTTATCTTCCTGGGCTTTTCTGGTTTTCGAGGAAAAGGCAGACAAATAATACAAAGTGCTTGTTGGGCAGGTACAAGTGGTTTAAGGAGCTGGAGCTGAAGTGGTACGCGCTGCCTGCTGTGGCCAACATGCTTCTGGAGGCAGGAGGGCTGGAGTTCCCCGCATGCCCTTTCAATGGCTGGTACATGGGGACAGAGATCGGCGTGCGGGACTTCTGCGACGCGCAGCGCTACAACATCCTGAAGGTGACCTGCTGCAGGGGAGCTGGCCTGGGCTGCGAGGGGAGGGAACCTGGTGCATGAGGTTTTGGAAAAGAGACACTACCAGTGTTCACTGGCATGGGAGAGAACCACTTCCTGCTTTGTCAAGCTGGAACATCCTCAGGAGCCAGAACTCCAAAAGTCCAGTTACCTTTAATCTCAGGTGTTTCTGCTGCCATATTTCCCCAGAATGACACTGACTCTTTCCCCTTCTGCACAACTTTTTCCTGATACAAAGCTGATGAGGTTGAGAAATGGTGCAGTCTAAGTTCCAGATAGTAAATTTGCTTTTCTCTTTTCTCTCTCTTTTTCACATGTAGGAGGTAGGGAGGAGAATGGGACTGGAAACAAATAAACTGTCATCATTATGGAAGGACCGAGCTGTTGTAGAGATCAATGTGGCTGTGCTTCACAGCTTCCAGGTAAATCACTGAGTGTGGGATCTGGGGAGACACTGAACACTCACTGTCCCTTCCTCCCATTCAATGGAGATGGCATTATGATTCCAATAGAGTTATTCTTTATTTTCACCTGAGAAAGTAGAGAAATCCATATTTCCTCACAGGTAAAGGCAGAAGGAAGAGAAAGAAGCAAAGGAAGTTAAGGACAAGATTTTCCATACTTTTAACACATTTATCTATGTGTTTCAAAACCTATGTAAAGCCCTTGGATTAATATATTTTATTTTCAATTCCAGTTAACATATCATGACAATAGGAAAAGTGGGTAAAAGTGAGTCAGAGGCTTTGCAGCATGCACTCCCAGTGCTGCAGAGGTAAAACGCTGATATTAAAGGAAAGATCTAAGAGTTCTTAATCAAAGGCCTGTGTTTCAATCTGTATCTTTACAGTAACTGCTGATAGTATTTATTTCCCATAAATACTCCCTTTACTCTGAGTAAAGTCCTTGAAATATTCACCAAAGCAAGAGGATTAGCTGCACCAGGTAGAAGGGCAGAATAGGGGTTTTAATTGATGTTTTTCTTTTTGCCATTGCTCTAGAGACAGAATGTAACCATCATGGATCACCACTCAGCCTCCGAGTCCTTCCTGAAGTACATGCAGAGCGAGTACCGCGCGCGGGGCGGCTGCCCGGCAGATTGGGTGTGGATCGTGCCTCCCATGTCAGGCAGCATAACCCCCGTGTTCCACCAAGAGATGTTGAACTATGTCCTCACTCCCTTCTATTACTACCAGGTACACATAATCAAAAAGAAATCCGACTCCAGCAGACAACCTCAGCAGAGCAGATGTGATACGAGACCCGAGGCAGTCTGGGTGCCAAGCCCAGGTTCATGAAAGTTCACTAGACAGGTTCAGAAGTAGCAGACAGGAGCTATTTTATGTGGGAAGTGCTGTTAGTTCTCTTGAATTCTCCGGCTTCAAGTAAAGTGCAGTTTAATGCAACAGAGACTGATAGACATTTTTACTCAGTAAAGTGTATATACAGATTCTATTTGATCTGGCCCCTTAAAGATACACAAATTGTTTATTTACTATTTTGCGTTCCTTACCTAAAGCATAACTTCTTTTTTTTTAAAGGTAGATGCATGGAAAACACATGTATGGCATGATGAGACCCGAAGGCGAAAGAAAAAAGAAATAAAGTTTAGCATCTTGGCAAAGTAAGTTGTTCAAATAAGATTCTTCATGCTTTGTCCAACTATTCTATTCTTGCAATGTTTCTGCTCTACTTCTTAAAAAAAAATTATTACAGTAGGGACCACTTGAGAGGTTTGAATCATAGCCTTACCTGTCCACCCTGAGGTAACATTCCTATCTAAGGTCTTGCTCAGAGCTATCTTGAGTGTGTTGCTTCTGAACCATTTTCCAAAGAAAAGCCATGCTCAAACTCAGTCTTTCCTAGCTTGCTTGTGAATCAACCTGAATTAGTGTAGCTCCATTAAAAGTTGTGTGTGACTGTGCTTTCCCCAGGGCTGTGCTCTTTGCATCCTCACTGATGCGAGGGGCAGTGGCCACCAGGGCCAAGGTCACCGTGATCTACGCGACAGAAACGGGCAAGTCGGAGACGCTCGCCAACAGCCTGTGCAGCCTGTTCAGCTGTGCCTTCAGCACCAAGGTGAGCAGTACAAATCAGCCACACCTCGTGGAGACAGGAGTTTGGCTTCTGCAGGCTTTTCCATTCTGCAGACCTGTGTTTGGAATGTTCTGTAAAATACGAGTTGGACTAGAACCCTGATTTTGTATTCATATAGCATAATGCCATGTAAGTTTGGTCAGCGGTTATCTGAGATATCTAAAGTAGTTCTTATGTGTGCTAGCAATGTCTCATGAGCTTTATTCCTTCCAGATCCTCTGCATGGATGAGTACAATATTTGTGACCTGGAAAAAGAAACACTTCTTTTAGTGGTTACTAGCACTTTTGGAAATGGAGATTCTCCAGGTAACGGAAAGGTAATGTTCACCTCAGAAGTGTGTATGAGATTCAGCTCAAAGACCAAAGACAAACCTTTCATTTATCTCATGTCCTTCAGTAATATATAGATCAGGTTTCAGATCAGAGTATTCTGTCTTAAATCAGAGTATTTTTCTAACCTGAAGTATTTAATGTATTTTTTTGCAGACCTTGAAGGACTCTTTGCTCAGACTAAAACTGCTGAGAAATAAAATTAGGTAAAAATACTTTGTTGTTTGGTTTGCATGTGATTGAGTCCTTTAGCACTCCATATAACATAACACAACAATCTTCTTTTCATTTCCTTCTGCAGGTATGCTGTGTTTGGTCTGGGGTCCAGCATGTACCCAGAGTTCTGTGCCTTTGCTCATGCCATTGACCAAAAACTGGCCCAACTCGGGGCTTCCCAGCTCACTCCAGTGGGTGAAGGGGATGAACTCAATGGGCAAGAAGAAGCTTTCCGCAGCTGGGCAGTCAGTGCTTTCAAGGTGAATATAGAAATACATCTCATATTCTAGTCACTCATCCATTCATTTTAGTGCACTTCCCATAAAAATGAGAGAAAATGAAGGAAACCAAACATCTGAATTTATATCTGAATTTGGAACTCCCCTCTTGTCTGCTGCTTGCCTAACAAGGAGAGGGAACTGGATCCCTTTTCTATTATTCTTTAATATCCACACAAAATTGCGTGAACGGTTTTGGATAATGGAATGCTGAAATGCTGTTAAAGTATGAACAAGTGTAGCATCAGACTTCTGGATTTTTTGCAGTTGATCTTTTTTGGCTATACTGTTATAGAAGTGGAACCTTACTGAACTCACTGAATCCACACACCAGAAGCACTAAAAACCAGCAATCTGTGAAACTGGTAGCTCCTTGTTAGGATTATGACAATGCTAAGAATATTTTTTTACTGTGAATAGCCTTTACCTTTGTGGGTTTTTTATCTAGGCTGCCTGTGACATCTTTAACGTCCGTGGGAGACACAGTATTCAGTTGCCTAAGATCTACACCTCTGAGGAAAGGTGGGACCCTACCAATTACAGGCTAGTGCATGACTCCCAGCCCATGGACCTGGCTAAAGGTATTGCTCCCACCTTCCCCTCCCTCTGCCTTTGCTGCTTCAGAGGGGCTGCACTGTGAAAGTTTCTCAGAAGTGTTCTTGGCCCTGATGGATGGTAGAATGTGCATAATGAAGTACATGGTCAGATTTAAAAACACACTGGTTTACATAGAATAAGTTATCTTTTCCAGCACAATAGCACTGGAACTATCACACATTTGGACATCCCTAGGGGAACAAAAGCTGAGATGAACTGCTTTTAGTCAGGGAATGGGGCACACACAACTGACTGATGGTTGGTCACCTTCTAGGGCAAGCGTGGTTCAGTTCTCCTCTTCATATTATTTGAATACAATTTAAACAAACCTAATCACAAGGTTACCAAGACTCATATCCTCTTTTCTCACCAGCTCTTGCAAACATTCATGCCAAGGATGTAATTCCCATGAAGCTGAAATTTAGGCAGAATCTTCAAAGTTTGAAGTCCAGGTATGCTACCTTATTCTTTTGAATATTGCAACACCACATTTTCCTAAAATCTTAAACATCTGAAGTGCCTAGTTATAAACATCTTCTCCCTGCAGTTATTACAAAAGGTACTGGTTTTTTTTGTACTGTCCTTGATAGCAGCATGTGAGCTGTGCAGTCTGCAGTGAGGCAGCCCTTCCACTGGCTGACTCCAGGCATGTTTATTCTGTACTGGACAGACCAGGCACAACTTCAGCACCCACTTTGTTTGGATACAAGTACTTCACATGCCTGGACTCTGATTTGTTTAAGTCTCTGTGAAGCCCTAAGCTGGTCTGGTATTTGGTAATGAACACAAGAGAGCCCTTGCCAAGTGCCACTGTAGATTTATTCCTTTCCTGTGCAGTCCAAGGGAAATCCTGTCAATGTAACCAGGATCTGTCTCTCTTTCTTTGCTATCCAGTCGTGTCACCATTCTGGTTAAACTTCAGTGTGAGACAGATCAGGAAGTGCACTACCTTCCCGGGGAGCACATCGGGATTTTCCCAGGCAACCAAGCAGAATTAGTCCATGGCATTATTGCACATGTCAAGGATGCCCCTCCAGCTGATCAGACTATCAGGCTTGAAACCTGCATTGATGGTAAGTTGGGTCTCTTTAGACAAAACAACAGAGAATGTTGGACAGATTCCTTTAAAATTCCTAAGGATTTTTGCTGACTGAATTTGATTCTATGATCCTTTTCTCAAGTTTCAATAGGATTTTGTTGCTGCTTTTTAGTTATTCCTGTAATTATTGGTTCTGGTTTTGCCCTTTCTGTAAAAACCATGACTTCACTAGGATTTGCAGAGGTATCCAATGTGACTCTAATTCAGTTGTTGAATTGGCCATTGACTGCAATTAAATTAATTAACAGTTTGCTTATTGCTACATGTAAGAGTCCTAAATAGACATATATGTCCTGCCCATCTTTCCCATATTAGTAGGAACAATCAGGATTCTGGAATACGGGAAGATGGTTTTCCTAAATGAAAGACTGTGCCTTTCCAAGTGGTGTTTTGTTGTCATGAAGTTTTCTGTGGCAGATCCTCCCCTTACAAAACATTCAAAACCTCACAATAACCTCTCTCAGAAGTGCCCTGTGGTCTAGACCTGCTGCATCCTCACCTGAAGGGGTATTTTGAAGGACACTGAGTTTTGCAAAGCTCTAGAGCTGTCAAATACCACGGATGTTGCTAAGTGTCCTTTTCTTTCCCTCATTTCCAGGTGGGTACTGGGCAAGTCACAAAAAGATTCCAGCCTGCACACTACCTGAGGCTTTGACATACTTGCTTGATATCACTACTCCACCCTCCCAACAACTGCTAAAAAAACTCTCCCAGCTGGTGACAGCAGAAGGAGATAAGCAAAGGCTGGAGGTGCTGTGTCAGGTGAGCCTTAGGGCTGCAGGAGTTTAGTTTGCAGTACACTGGGCTCTCTGATGCCCTTTGACTCTAGCAGAAGTTTAAGAATTTTTTTGTAGCGATGGATTTTTATGCCTCTCTTACATATTGTGTGGTCTTAGAAAGCCAACCACAGTGAGAGAAGGAGGGGTCTGAGGCTCAGCTTGGGTGTGGGAGCCAACATCTGGTGTTTCCTGTGGTTCTGGGTGGGTCATTTGCTGGCCTGGTTCTCTTGCCTCGTGGTGGTTCCTGATGAGACGCCCTTAAAGGCCTTACACTTTGCATGTAGAGGAGCTGCAGGGGAGCTGGTAGATGTTTTTGTCAGATAATTTGCTACCCTGAGAGTCAGAGAGATGTGGCTTTAAGTAATGACTCATAGGTGTGGTGAGTGCTGGCTCCTCCTACCAGGTTCAGGGAGGCTTGGGAGGGATCGGGACCCAGGACTACACAATTTCATGGGTGTGCCACGACAGGGAGCTGGGAAATGAATTCTGCTTCAGTTTCTGTATCCCCGCTGAGAGAGCAAGTGTCTGAGAACTTTGTAGTGGGGGTTCTGAGCTTCCATGTTCAAAATGAAATTATTTCTTAGGAAACCCCAGTATTGGTCCTGGCAAAGTTTTGAGAACACTTTGTTGATTTACGTGCATATTTAATTGATTGTAAAGCACGAATCTTATTTATAAGTGATGTTTCAAATACACCCGCCCTCCTGAACACAGCATGACCTGGTAATGTTGTGGCAATGCCCTTTGTCTTTTAGAGCACAGAAGAATACAATAAATGGAAGTTTTACAACAGCCCAAACATCCTGGAGGTGCTGGAGGAGTTCCCCTCTGCTGAGGTCTCTGCAGCTTTCCTGCTGACTCAGCTGCCACTTCTGAAGCCCAGGTACTATTCTGTCAGCTCCTCCTGTGACCTGACAGCCAGAGAGATTCATCTGACAGTTGCAGTTGTAAACTACAGGACAAGAGGTAATGAACTGTTGTTTTCATCTCTCTCTTAATTAAATGGTATTTAGACTACATTGTGGTTCAGGAAAAAATCTTTCTGCCATACAGCATGAAGCATATCTGTAATAAAAAAATTTGTGTTGTCATACCTGCAGAATAGTACCTGCAGGGCAGGTGTTCCTCCTGGGCCAAGATTTACTAAAATCCTGCACCATCATCATTGTATCCATGTTTTATAAATCATTACTAGACATACATTTATTTTAAAGGTACAATTTTAAGTATAAAGTGTGCTTTTTTTAAAACAGAGGGCTTTTGGGTGCTATCAGAGGTGTTCTGCCTTGCTCTGCTTTTAGATGGTGAAGGGCCTTTGCACCATGGAGTCTGCAGCACCTGGCTGAACACAATAGAGCTCAATGAAACCGTTCCCTGCTTCATCCGCAGGTAAAGAAAATTAAATAAGAGCAGCTTGTAGTTCAGCTTCTCAGTGTGTTTTCCTTTGTTTGGATGTTTTCAAGTGACTGCTGAGTTGAAGTTGAATAGCTGGGTCTGAGAAGAGAGGGAATTCTCTGTCTTCCAGAGATTAGATATTTTACCACTCCTTACATTTAGTAAAATTACATATAATTAGAAAATTTTGAAATAATTCTATTCCTATGACCCCATCCCCGCTGTTCGCTTCTCCACTGCAGAGCAAGGAAAGGGGAGGGAACAAGGAGCACCCAGTTCAGCCCCACTGCTGCTTTCACACTGGGCACTTGGGCTGTGCTGCTCAGACATCCAAGCAACTGAAGGTGGGTTTCATCAGAAACCAGGTACCTAATTAACATATTCTTGCCTTTCAGTGCTAATGAGTTCCACCTCCCGGAGGAGCCATCCAAGCCCTGCATTCTGATCGGCTCAGGCACGGGGATTGCTCCCTTCAGGAGCTTCTGGCTGCAGCGCCTCTATGACCTGGAGCACAGAGGTACCTGCGGGGGCCCGGGGCAGGGCTGGCTCAGGGACACCCCCAGTCCTGCAGCCAGGGCTCTGCAGCTCAGACAGCCACAAACAGCCACAAACGTCAGCCAGGAGCCCCTGCAGGCACCGCAGGCTCGGGGCACTGGCACAGCCAGCCCATCCCAGGGACCATTCCCGTGTGCAGGGGTGGCCTGGGGACTGGAGGGCACAGCCTGTGTGCCAGTCCTGTGTGTCAGTGGCTGCCCCTGACACTCAGACTGCCACTGTCCCACGCGTTTCAGGGCTCAGAGGAGGGAACATGACCCTGCTGTTCGGCTGCCGGCATCCAGACCTGGATCACATCTACAGGGAAGAGACTGAGGAGATGAAGAGGAAGGGAGTCCTGAGTGATGTCTACACAGCTTACTCCAGACTGCCTGGCCAAGAGAAAGTAAGGCTGGTTCCTTTGTTCTTTAAGGGTTAACTCCTCTAGAATCATCTCTCAAGTTAAGATCTGGGCTCTGGTTGTTCTTAAAAAAATGTTAGCATTTTGCTGAATTTTACTGTGAGCAGCTTTGAGCTTCTTCAAATGAAGAAAAATCTCCCTGTGCACTCTAGCACAAGCAAGGTGTGCTATAAATTGCTATAAATATAACCCCTCACTGCCATAGAGAGGCACGTCTAGTGCAAACAGCCTTTGGAACTAGAACTGGAACATTTTCAGAAACCTTGTATTTTGCAGGATTTGATTAGCCCCTGAGTTAGAAATGAGTTGGCACTGGCCATTTTCCCCCATTTTAATGACACAGTGACCATGGAAATAAATTTTATGTAGAAGAATCTTGACTGGGAAAAAAACAGAATAAAAGTTATCCTCTTTTTAGCTCTCCTGGCAGTTAGGAGGCTTTGGCACTTAGAAGAGTTTTTGTTTGACCAAGAGATGAGCCCAGCTTCCAAATCTAGGCTTGTAAAGGGCAACCTGAAGATGTTTTTCATCTTTTCTGCGGTGCAGGACAGAGCTGGAACAGACAGGGCACCCAGAGCCTTAGTGCACAGACCCAGGCTGGACTGGGAAGAGCCAGCAGCCCAAGCAGCATTTCAGAAGCCTGGTGTGCTGACGGTTTCTGTGTTTCCAGGTGTACGTCCAGGACGTGCTGCAGGGGCAGCTGGCGGCCCGCGTGTGCGAGGTGCTGCAGGGGCAGCAGGGCCATGTGTACGTGTGCGGGGACGTGCGCATGGCGCGGGACGTGGCCGGGGCGCTGCGGGCGCTGCTCGCCCGCGCCCTGCGCCTCAGCCAGCAGCAGGCCAGCGAGTTCCTGCAGCAGCTCAAGGTAGTGCCATCACGGGCCGTGGGTGGGCACAGCCGGGCTCGGGGGCTGTGAGCTCCCGGGAGTGCTCGCACAGGGACCAGGCTTCTGCTCGGTCAGGCTCACAGGGGGACTCTGCTGCTCTGCCTGGGGTGGCCTGGGGATCAGCACTGCAGGGTGTTGGGAACATCAGGAGCTTGAGGCTTTATTGTACCAGCAGAGGAGAAGTGAGTGCAGAATTTGTGGGTCCATCACTAAGAGCCCAGTGCCTGGGGCTGCTGCTTTTTCAGACCCTCTTGTTATTAGAACCTCATCCTCGGATTCGGGAGCTCCCTTTCACTGGCAGTAACAAAAGTCTACAACCACAGAACCAGTGCTACAAATGCAAAAGGCCTTTTAGTTACTGAACTGATGGATAAGGAGTAGCTGGCAGCATTTCATTCATTTCTTGGGTGTCCTTTCTTTTTGCAGAGCCAAAAGCGATACCATGAAGATATATTTGGGGCTGTGTTCGCACATGAAGTCAAAAGAGCTTTGCAACCCACCAGCTGAAGAACAAACTAACTTGTGTTTTAGACAATATTTGCACATCCGTTGCTATTTTCAAAAAACAAAGACTCAAATCCTCCTTCTTACACTTGTTCAATCATGCATGTGTATAGGATTGTGGGATTTGACTCTTAAACCTCAGCCTTAATTATGTAAAATATTAAATTTAACTTTTTTTGCTATTTATTCTGACATTTTAATACATTATCTTAATAGTGAAAGTGCAAATTATTTTTTAATACCATCTATGCTAGTATAAATCTGGTCATTTTTATACATACAAGGAAAATCTACAGTTTTGTACTAACTAGAGCTTGAAATCTTTTTTTTTAATGTACTGTTTATCTTTGTGACCTTATTTATATCAGATTGGTTTACTTGCATATTATCTTCACTTGAAAGCAGGTGAATGCATGGTTGTGTTGCTGGGAGTCGTCTGGCCATGTGCCTGGATCTGGAGCAGTGTTTGCAAATGAAATAATAATGTGCTGGTCCCAAAGTGGCAACTCCTGCTGCATCCTCCTCAGGTGTGTCTGCTCAGCAGGTAGCAATGGGGAATTCTGCTTTGTGGGACTCAGGTACATTAACCTCAGCTGTTGTTGCTGTTGTTGTTACAGAGCCTATAGCAGGAAGGTTCAAAAAATTCCAAGGCACTTTGTACATTTGAATGCTCTGGTTTACTTGATTTGTTTGTAATAAAATCTGCCTTTATACTGAGACAAAGCGTGTGGATCAGTGAACCGCTTCTTGCTCTTGGCTCCAGCCGGCAAAGGCAGAGGTAACAAACAACTCTTGGGCTGTGCTGAGGTGGGTTTGGCTCCAGGCAGCGCTCCTCCCTGAGCTAAGGGCATCTCCAGGAGTTACAGTCTGCCTGCGATCACTTTTGCATTTTTGTTACTGTCAGGCAAGTGTGAGTTTGCACCAGGGAGAGACTGGCTTGAAACTGCCCTCATTGTATTTGGCCTTGGGCTCTTTCTACATGTTGCAGTTACATCAGAAATAGTTCCTTCTCTGAAATTACCATGGCTAGATGAGCATATTAAAAAGGTGAGATTTTCCTGTCATCCCTTGTCTCCAGGAGCTGGAATTGATGAAGGCAGAGTTGAGACTCCAAAGTCAGCAGTGCTGTGTGTGAACAGTGTGTTTCACACGTGCTGCAGGACAGCCCTTAGCCACAGGACCTGGAACTCGGCTGGGTTACTGAGGTAGCTGTGCACCCCGCTGGGCTGGGACTGGACTGGGCGTTACAGATTAACACTTCTGCAGGTAGTGTGCTTGTTTCATTGACTCCTAAACCAAATTTATGTGGCTTTAAGGGAATTTAGCATCCAGAACAGGCTGTGTGCCAGGCACTGAGGTGCAGACAAACGTTGCTCTTAGCCTTGTTCTGTACCTGGTTTTGGGTACTGGTGAAACCCCCAGGAACAGGGCTGAACTGGGGCATCTGGGAGAGTCCTGGGCTGGCAGCACAGGAGCACTGCTGGCTGCCCTCCGCCCCTGAGTGCACAGGGTGCATTCCTGAGCTTTGGGGAGCAGTCTGACAGTGGGATATACTTCGAGCCTGATTTTCATAGCACTATTAACTGAAGGAAAAGGACTCAGTAACACTCGCTTTATCCAGACCAAAGATTTATTCACTGAAAAGATTCCTACATATCCAGAATTCCAGTAGCATAGAGTGCAATTTTTTTTTCTTTTTTCTTTTTTGTTGGTTGCATAAACTAATACAGAAACTGTTGTTAATTCTAACAATTTGTAATTAATTTAATAGTAATTCTGGAAGACACTCAGTTCATAGAAAATATAAAAAAAAATTTGTACTGTACAAAGTTTACATCACATTTGAAAAGAAAACGTGTCCATGTTCACCATGTTACGACCATTTACATTCACTACTGACATGTGGCTCCTGTAGCAGCATTGCACAGCATTGTCACACTGACAGCTCCACCGGGGCGGGACGTGACACGAACACAACCCAGGGACTTTGCTTGGTGTGCGGGGCTGGGACAGCTCCGTGGCCCCAGGCTCTGTGCCCAGAGCTCGGCCGGGTGTCCCTGGCTGGCCAAAACAAAAACCACCCTGCAGACACTGCCGGTCTCTCCTCTGGCTGCGCTGGGGCAGAGCATCAGCTTTGTGTTCAAGGGCAATTTATGGGTGTCCCACACACCAGCCAGGTCAGGCTGGATTCCAATCCCATCTCCTCATTAAGGGCAGGCTATGAACAAGCCCCTGTGCCAGGACTGGAGCACATCCCACAGTGTCCAGTATCCTGACCGGGGCAAGGCAGGGCACAAAGGGCTCCACACGCAGGGCCTGACCTGCACGGGAGGGACCAAGGGTCACAGTCTGTGCTTGCAACCCCACACAGAATGTTCTGGGTGTCCCAGCTCTCAGGGCCTGCTTTATGCACCCAAAATCTGAGTGAGGAGCAGCCCGAGCTGCTGCTGCCTTGACACTGACTGAGCTAAGGCCCAGTCTGCATCCAGCAGCAGCTCCTGCCCTACCCTCCCTCAGGCAGGAAGCCCATGCAGGGTTCCAGCCCAGGGGCAACACCTTTTTTCCCTGCTTTGGGTTTGTGTTGTGCTGCTCTTAATTAAGCAGCACTTGGGGGAAAAGAACTTCTGCTTCAGGGTGCTGACACGCAGGTAGTGAGAACATCAGACCCCAAGGGGGACAGGGGATTAGAACAGCACTTCAGTGCCTGGCCATGCCAAACCCATTGCTCTTTTTGATCTGAAACACATTTTAAAAGTCTTTGTCAACACTTGTAAGAGGCTACAATAGACTGAGGCTACAACACATGACTGAGGCTCTCTGCTCAACAGAACTCGTGTTTTGTGCCACTTAGTTCCTCACACAAGGCAGCCAAACTGAGGGCTGGTGCTTTGCTGGCTCAGAGATCTGGGAGCTCCCCCCGAGCCTTGGGGATGATGGTGGGGAAAGGGGAGCCTCTGATAATGGGTCCTGCAATTGATTTCCAAGGGGGATGTTGCATCTGTCACCTCACTGTGGTCACTGGCTGTCACCTCCATAACCTCCACACTGCACTGGAGGAGGGGGTGGGTTTTGGTTTTAAAACTAACCTCTGAAGCAAATTTGAGGTGTTGGTGTCAGGCAGAACCTCCAGGCCCAGATACTGCCTTGGTTACAAGATTTGTTTCTCTTAAAGTTTTTTTCCCCTCATAGTAACTGCTTTGGTCCTATGTTTTTCAAACAAAGAACTTGCAAGTTCAAACGTGGCCAACTGTAGGCAGTGGCAACACTCTGTGTGTGTGTGCGTGCAGGAGCTCTGAAGCTCTGTGCATCAAGGCCTTGGTTTAATGCATTATTTAGGGACAGCTTTTCTCTTGTCTTGTTTCTCTTGCCTTTCCCTGCACTCAAACTTGTGTCTGAACTTCAAAAGAAGAATTTGGTCCCTGTGAAAAGCTGTGGACAAGTCATGAGTTTTATTTTTTAAGGCCAGCAATTCTTAATTCCTCTGGGATTGTATGAGGAAGCAGGTTTTAGTGTGAGTTCTGTGGAGAAGAGCACTTGAGTCATTAACTGAGAGCCAGCTCCCATGGCCAGACACTACCTGCAGCAGCTCTGTTCTGGTAGCCAAATTCAGGGAGACCCAGAGGTGGAGCAGCCCTGCTGAAACAGTGGTGGCTTGGGCAAGTGCCAGTGCAGCAGGCCGGGCTCTGCCTTCGGGAGAGAGCTGGCCTCTGGAAGGCAAACACCTCACAGGAGCCACGTCACTGTGCCACAGCCAGGGGACCCCGCTCTGCGGGCAGAGTGGCTCCTACTGACCACGGACACAAGGAGCAACCAGGAACAGCTCAGCTCTTTTTCAGTGCTATTTGAGAATGGCTGTAGTTCAACTTGATTCACTGTTTATTATGTTTAAAAAAATATAGTTCACACAAAAGTATCATGTAAACATTGTTTAAATAGCTGCTGGTGCTCAGGCAGGACACGGGGCTGAGCTGATGGTCTTCAGTGGGGTCGCACCAGCCTCGGCGCGGGGCAGCCAGGGAGGGTCTCTGGTGCTCGTGGGAGCAGGCAGCCAGCACGGTCACACTGACACCGGGCTACAGCTTTGGGTTACTCGGTTCCAGGATTCCCAAGCCAAATCTTTCAAAACGCAGGACAACTTTGCTACTGTTAATGCTGCAGAGAGTGGGGACGAGAGGAGAAGGGGGGGAAACAGTTACTGATGATTCATCTTACAAAGCTACCGCCTTATCACAGGAGCTGAAATGAGTTTGGTTCTGCTCTCGCATCGCTTCAGCTCACCCAAGAGATGCCCAAGTAATTCAGCAGCAAACACATGAAGTTATTCATGCAAACCTTATCAGTGGGAAGAAACTGCACAATCTGATTTGCCCATGGGGGAGGAGCAGGAAGTTCTCCCAGGTCTCTGCCATGGGTAGAAGCCTGACACTGGTTTTCAGTGGGCACTTGCTTCTCTTGAAGTAGAAGGGAAGGAAAAACTGATAGAAATTTCTTTGTAAGAGAAAGGGGAGTTTTGACAAGGTACATGAACAGGTTAAGAAACCCCAACAGAACACACCCAAAACCATTTGCTCTTTCCAGGCTCTACAGACACGTAAAGGGGTCTCTCCCCTTGCTCTCACACTGCTGGCAAAGCCAGAAGCACTTTCAGCTCAGAGCTTTTCTGAGGAGGCTCAGGGAATGATGTGGGAGCTTGTCCTCAGACAGCAGAAACCCCCTTGGTGTGTGCTCTCCTCTGTCCCTGTCCTCTCCCCTCCAAACCAGTGAAAAAAGACCTTTTCTAGAAGGCACATGTTTGCTGTGGTAGCTGTGACTCTGCCAAGGGCCTACACTGAGTCCTGCTGACCAGGGATGTAAACAGGAGCAAACCGTAACATTCTAAGCACTGGATCTGCAAGGGGAGGAGCTGAAGGGTGCTCTTGCTTTCCTCTTTTACGCAGCTTTGTAGCTGATCCCAGCTGACCCAGGTGGGCCTGCTCTGCACACTGCCCCAGACACTGCCCAGCCTGGTTCTCAGTGGGCAAAGGCCCCTCAGCTGCTCCAAGCAGAGCAAGGCCCATCCTTCTCCCCACTCAGGAACTGCCCCTGGCTCCAGTGCTGGCTCTGTGCCTGAGGGAGACCCGGCCCGGCCTCAGCTCCTGCTGGTTTGCAGTGCCAGTGCTGCGGCCGTGTCCCTGCCTGCCGCAGTCACAGAGCTCCAGCACTGGGACTCGGCCCGAGGGGCCGGGGGCTCCGCAGGACACGCAGCACTCTGGGGACAGCCCTGGGCTGCAGGCAGGACAGCCGGCCCTGCCTGGGTGTGCACCTGGTCAGTCAGAGCGGGTCCCCACGCCCGTCCCCGAGGAGTCACAGCTGCTGGGCGCGCCGGGGCAGAGGAGCCCGTGTTAGCCAGGAAGGTCTCGCACACAGGAGTGGTTATTGAAGCTACAGCCCACACCAAGCGAAAGGCAGCGAGAAGAACTCGGATAAAGTGTTGATTATGTCCATGGGTTAATTTCGTAGTTTGTTTTTGCTTTTTTAATGGAAGGTGATTGTCCAAGTTGCCGGTTAGGATACGACACATGGAAGCATGCAAGGTGGAGCCCGTTATTGCACCAGTAGCTACAACCTACAAAGAAATACAGGAGGGAAGGGAAAAAGACACCGTGAGAGTTAGTTTTCTGTTATTTAAAGCAAGCCCTTGAGAACTACACACTGTACAGCTCCGACCAGGCTGCAGCAGGGGTTAGTGCAGTGCTGTGAAAGGATCTGGGTGAGGTGGGGGAGAGCTCCTCTGCTCAGTGCATGTTCTTTTTGTGAAGGTGAGGCCAGAGTCTCGGGGAAGCTCTCTGCAGTTTAAAGCTGTTGGACATCACTGGTGTGTCAGGGATCCAGTACAAATGGGGAGGAATTTCCCCAGGAGAAGTGGCAGAATTTTCAACCAAAACTCCAAAGCCCCCACACCCAGCCTAGACCAAACTGCCACAACAGTTCCTGTATCAAGAGTTTGGGTGGTTCTGATCAGGTGTTGCAGGAACAGGGTGAAAGATTATAGGAAGGGAAGGGATGGGTTATACATCAGAACAAAGAAAAAGTAAATATGAGCAGTTCAGGAGATGAAAAGAAACAGTGAGCCAAGGACATGGTGAATGGGCTCTGGGCACAGATATATCTGTGGCCTCAAACCCATGCAGTCTGAACCACTCCAGAGGGAAACACTGCCCTGTTCTTGGGTCCTTCCCTTGCCATTACCAGCACAGGGGAAGTTCCAACCACCTTGGGGTCAGTGTGGACCCTTCCCAATGCTGTTGTGGATATTCTCTGACACCAAACAGGGGGATCAGTCAGCTGCTGGAGGGAGGTGAATATGAAGTAGGAAATGAACTGTCTGAGGTTCATGGCTTAGTTACATCATTTCCCAGGAACTAGAGATGCAGAGGAGCAGTGCTCCCACCCTGTCAGGTCTGACAGCCCCAGGAAAGCAAATAAAGCTCAGAAATGATCAGTTAGCAAATTTCATAGCATCGGTGTAGCAAATTTCATGGCATCAGCAGCAGGTACTCACTCAGCAGACTTCCAGAAGTGCCCTGGGTGGGAGAGCCGGCGGTTCAGTTTTGGCAGTTTTTCAAGCATTTCCATGAGGACAGTGAAGCTGGGCCGCTCGCTGAGGTTGAAGGCCCAGCAGGCCGAGAGGATTTCCTGCAGAGGACAGTGGTGGTTCATTATCTCTGTTCATGGGTCAACTGTGCAGACCAGAAAAGTGTCTGAGCACTGGGATGTGTGTGAGGCCAGGCAGACACCGCTCACAGAGGGCCTGGACACTGTCAGAACCCAAGAGTGGGGGATGTTCATTTCTGCACCACAGTTACAGGCACAGGCTTAACCTGGTCTCCCACTCTCTTCTCTTCTCTTTCCTGCCCTTTCTCTTTCGAGTTACGAGTATAGTAACTCCCTTGAAGCACCCCTCTCTCCCTGACAAGCAGCTGTCTGAGGGACTCCTGCAGCTGAGGTACTCACATTGACCTCTTTGCCCAGGCTGACAGTGGCAAGGACTTGTCTGACTCCCTCGCCGCTGCCGATCTGCCAGATGAGAGCCTCTGCAGGCTGGGTCCTGAACGGCCATTCCCGTGCCTGGAGCTCGTACCACACAGTCCTGCAATGCCAACAGACGTGTCAGACCTCTGCCTGCTCCTGGCAGACAAAGTACCCAATGGTGGCACTGTTCCACCATTCTGAGCTCTGGCAGGTGCCCAAGGCTGTGCAGCAAACCCCTTCCAGCCATGAATTTTGGAATAGGTGAGGAAAATGTGTCCCAGCTGGAATCCTGAGTCTGAGAGAAGGGGAACACTGACTGGAAAGCTCTCATGGTACTCCTGGGTGTTCCTTTCTTACCCAAAGGCATAGATATCTGCAGCTTTGGAGAAAGGCAGCTTGTCTTCATCTTTCCCTGGGGCCATCTCACGGACAATCTCAGGGGCCAGGTAGCACAACCAGTCATGAGGCAGCTTCAGTTCATTCTCCCTCCTGAGTCCAAAAGAAAGAAGCAGGACTAGAACATTGGTGTGGAGGCCATATCTGTGCTGCACCTGATGCTTTGGCTTTATTTACTCCAATGTTTTTGCTGATGTTTTGTTTCTAATTTTCTTGCCAGGTTAACAAATAGGCACATGTCAGCCTGACACCCACAGCTCCTTCCTGGGCTTAAGGTCTGCTTGTTCTGTGCTCTGAGTCTTAATCCAAACTCTCTAGCTGTGTTACTGCAACTGTAGCAAGAACTCTGCTCAAAAGGAAAACAAAGCAAACATACACAGTGCAAACTGAGTATGTACTAAACCATGGATGCTTCCTGTGCACTGCAGGAAATGTTTCCCTATTTGACCATTTGTCATTCCAGATGTGGAACCAAGCACTGAAACCTCCACTTACCTTCCTTCCTGAACCACGCCCGAAATTCCAAATAATCCAAAGTCAGTGATCACAACTTTCCCATTGTCATAGAAGACATTTTTGGATTTCAGATCCTTATGTACAATCCCCTTTGCGTGGAGATACCCCATGCCCTGGGAAACACAGCAGAGATGGAAATGTTTTTGGGGTTTCATTATTTCCAAGCATACTCTGCTCTCCAACAAATTTCCCCTTCCTAACTCCAGTGTCAAGGATTAGTTGTAACTGGGGCAGGGCCCCTGTGGGACTTGTGCAGGAAGGTGTAGGGAGAGGCTGAGGGAGCAGCTCCCAGTCCCATGTGCAGCTCTGAGCTCTGGCTGAGGCCCTACCCAGTGGCTCCCTTGGCATAAGAAACCCTTACCTTAATGATCTCCTGTGCTATCTGCCTGGTTTTGTTGATGTCCAGGGAGATCTTGGGGTCCCTCACAAAGGAGTGCAGCGTCCTTCCTTTGCAGAAGCTACAGGAGATGTTTATATATGAGAACATTAGCTAGCTCTACAATACATATCTAGTAGAGCTAACAGAAAGATCTCTCTCACCTGGTAATGATTGCTAAGTGAGGGGGGTTCATGCAGGCTCCCATGAACAGCACCACGTTCTCATGCCGGGTCTGCCTGTAGTTCATCACCTCCTTCTTGAAGAGCTTGAGATGATCCTGATTGTTGCCGTCGATCTCCAGCAGCCTGATGGCCACCTCCCCGTGCCACTTGCCCTTGTAGACCTTGCCCCAGCGGCCCTGGCCGATGGGGTCCCCCAGCTGGATCTGCTCGAAGGGGATGTCCCACTCCTGCAGGTACACGCTGGTCTGGCTGGGTTTGCGGTAGATCATCCCCTGCAGGTGCGGCCGCCGGCTGGGCAAATCTTCCACCTCGTCCTCATCGTCCTCGGGCTCTGACTTACTGGCCTCTGGTTCCTCCACCTGTGCACAGCGAGGGGAGGAAAGGCGTGCTCGCAGTCCCGCAGGGGCGGCAGAGCAGCACAGCTGCTCCAGAGGCCGGCGGGGCAAACCAGCAAACCCACCTGTGCTTCCCGTGGGCCTCCGCCCGCGCCCGGCTGCTGGGCAGCGCTGCAACAGAAGCAGTGAGAACAACGTCTGACATCGCTGCAGTGGGGGCCTCTGCTGCCCTTAGGGAGCAGAAGCAGCCAATGCAGAACAGATCCTGACAGTTACAGAGGTCAGAGAAAAATACAACTCCTGCTCCATGGAAAAGAGAAGGACTCTAAGCTCACTTTGGCAAATGAGGGACAAAGAATTAGAAGTAAGCCTTGATAATTAAGTGGCAGGAATTGATTTGGCAGTGGCATGGCTCTGTTATTACACTGTGTTCCAGGAATAGATGGTCCCATTCCTACCCCTGAAATACCTCCAGTGGAGCAGCTGGCAATGCAGGCTGGAAGCTTTTCCATCCCTGCAATTGGGATCCTGAAAGAGCTGTTTGCTTGCAACTCAGTGTGCTGTGCCCTTCAAGTGACAGAACTCCAGATTCTGCTTCATCTGACCCTTCATACAACCAGGACTAGATATTAAAGGCTTGGACTCCTCAGTGTGCCATTTAGAGTTAAGTGTCACATCCAGCTTTAAAAAGCTGGCAATACCAGCATCACCCTCACTGACTAAAGTTACCCTGGGAATTCTCAGGTGTTAAATCTGGTTTTGGCCATAACACTTCTGGGTACTTCTAGTACTTCTGGGCTGACTTGAGGATTACCAGGTAAAAGCTGTGAAAATGAATGGATTTAAAACTATACTTACTTAGTGTCTGTAGCAGTTTCTGGAAGCTGTGCTGTTTGTGCAGGACTGGGAATTTCTGGAAAAGTAGGAACAGTTATGATACATCTTCTACACTTCAATCTCCTATAGACTGCAAGTTTTAACATTGCAATAGCAACTATTTTCTTCTTATTTAGGAATTATAAACTCAACCGCAGACAAAGTGATTTTATACTTTTACTGATTTAAAACTCTGCTCATCTCTCCTATGCCTGCATGTTGGCTGAGCCCAGTCCTCTTCCATTTCCCTCACCTATCCCTAAAGTCCTTTTGACTAGGCACGAAGCCATAATAGTGAAACTTTTCAAAGGAGGAACATGGATGTGAATAGAATCCACAGCAGGAAATGGATTTTCTACAGCTAAATATTCAAAGTTCCATCTCAATACATAAGTCACATTACTACCTCAGATTAGGGGAGAGAGGCCTGAGTACACACTGAAATAAGAGAAAGTGTGGATTGTTTTAGACAGGTTTTTTAAAGCAGAATGATTGTTCTTGGGCAGGATGCAGAGGTTTACAAGCAAGTAGTTTTGGCAGTAGACGTTGGTTAGTAGAATTAAAACAATCAACTCACCTGGGAAGATAAACTGTTGTCTATGCTGAAGGTAGTAGGCAGCTTTTTAATTAATTGGGGTTTTGTAAAAAAGGAACAGCAAAAAAAAACACCAGGAGAAAAACAAAACAAAACAACACAAACAAGTTAGAGGATCATCAGTGAGTGCCTCATATGCATTCAATGAATTAGTCCCAGGTCACTGCTGGGAACAGATTAGTGCATTATCAGCCTGCTGGGGGAATTTCAGCACATGCATTTTGGGAGGCCCTGACACATGACAGGTATCAAACACAAGCTGTGCTACCTCTCTCAGACAGCCTGGTGGGCAAACACCATACTTGGATCCCCAGTGGCAGGAGCAAAGGGAGAGCCCAGGAATGCACAAGGCAGGCCCACATCAGGTGTGATGTGCTCTCATGTCTCAGCTTTGCAGAGGTGCCCCCACAGAAGCTGAAGCTCATGAACCATCCACCTTTTTTATTTTTTCAGTGAATCTGAGCACTTTGTCCCAGTGCAAAGTAGCTGCAGTGGAATCCTTACACTGAACTGCCTCTGGTCCTTTTCAGCAGGCTCAAACTTTAACTTAAATTCACAGGTCAGAAGCTGATACAAAATTCAGCAATGTTGAAGGCCAGATGTAGTAGCTACTAAGCACCATGTGACTTCAGGTCAAAGGAATTACATTTATTCTCACTGTTTAGATCTTTGCCCTTGTCAGAGATACGTCCCCTCTCAGCTCTGGTTAAAGCTGCACACTGGGGCTCTCAATCCATAGGGCATGAAGGGTAAACTTCTCTCCACCAGTCCTGCTTGACAGTGGTTTAAAAATCGGTGTTGGTTGTGGGTTGTATTTTGGAAGGGTCTGGTGAAGTAATTAATTCCAGTTCTCATTTTTACAGCCTGCTCCAGCAAGTACCTCCCTCCTGACTGAAAGCCCCTGGTGAGCACACATTGCGGGCAGCATGCACTGTACAGCACAAAGGGGAAAGAAGGAGAAAAAGCAGCTTTTTGCTTCGGTCCTTTTCCAAAAAGGAAAAGGAGAAATGTTCTTCAATAATCAGTTTCCTGCAAAGATATCTTGCTGATACCCTTCAAAAATTGGTAAGAAAGACATTTTCATTTTATCAGATAATAAGATACCCTTTTACACCTTGTTTAAGGCACAACCATGTATTCACAAACCTACAGCTGCCTGTGAACTGCTGGTCAGCCCCTCCTTGCAGAGTCTGCTGCCAGACAGGGGTGTACCTGGGAAGTTGAACCGCCCGTCCCTCTGGCCCATGGGGGACGGGTTTGGGGGCGGCGTCGCACTGGGAGGGTTGGAAGAATGGAAAGGTGCTGGAGAAGATGGAGTGGATGAGGTTGTAGAAGAAGGATTACTGCTGGAGTCCAGGTGGTTTATTGCTGGTGGATGCTCCTGCAAAGCAGAGAAAGACACGCGTGAGAGAACGAGAAAGAGGAGCCTCCCCTCAGTGTCTGCTGGACAACAGATAGAGGGAACTTGTTCACAGGCTTGATTGTGGCGTTGCCTTTCTGAATAAACACCTGGAGCTCTGGACAACCCCTGCTTTACCGGGAGAAAATGTCTCATATCCAAGTCTTGCAAAGTGAAAGCTCTCACTCCAACCAGTGAGATCCAACCTCTCCCTGTTGCAGCTCCCCAGGGACTCTGGACATGCTTCAGCCATCTCATACCTTTTTAGTTAGTGCTTTGGGGAGAGTTCCAAACTGGGGTTCTGTGGGTCTGTCTACTGGATTATTGATATCAGATGGGACAGACTCTGTTCTTCTTATTTTTGTTACTGAAAAACAGGTTGGAGAAGGGAGAAAAACCGCTTTAATGAGACTTTTTATTCTTTCCGTACCATCAATTATATTGAAATGCCAAGAATTTGTAGAAAATTACTTACTGGGAAGGAAGGATATTCTACAAGCAGGTGCCTCTTTAGTACATTTGTTGTGACATTTTAATCTGAAAGATAACCATTACATGTTAAATAGCAACTTGTTCTTTCCAGAAAGAGGAAGCCTACCCTTAATTTGTAATTCTTATGCTAATCTCAGAAGGAGTTCTGGAATTCTCAGCCCCAGAGCAGCAGGCATTCATATAGGGAATTCTATTATTTAGGCTAATGAAACCACAAACATATCTTAGCATCTGGTTTATTTTTAATAGAGTTACTTTCACTGACTCTCAGCCAGCAACCATGAAGTAGTAAAATCTCAGTCCTCTGTGCCAACAAGCCTGAGAGAGAAGCAAAAAGTAATATCCTGGCTGTTATTTAGGGATTCAGCTTCCACTACAAGATTTGCCCAGGATGAGGTAGGAAGCCTGTAGCAGGGAAACAAATTTGGTTCATTCATGTGTCAGGCTGCCAGCTTCAAGCGTGAGTTGTGCCAGAGCATCTCTTTGCCAGGCCAGAAGGACTGAAACAATGATGCCACTGCCAAAAGTGCATCACATCAAGAGACATGAGTTACTGCAGGCTGTGGTGAGTCCACTCCAGGCTGTTCTGACAGTGACCGTCCCCGTGTGCTCACCTGCAGTACTTACACTTCACCCCGAACATCATGTTTTTCTGGCACACCTGGCAAATCTGAGATAACCAGGACTTTGTAGAGAACCTAACAGAGACAAGAGAGGGAAAACTGACATTAGCTGGTGTCTGAGGGGAAATTTACATTTGTAGGTAGCTGAACTTGACACCTGAGACACCCAAACCGACTCCAAACCCATCTCAGAGCCCTGTGCCACCACAGCCCTGCCTGGGCTGTTGGGCTGTGCCCCTGACTGCTCACCTGTGAATTACAGCCAGACCCAGTCCCTGGCTGCTCACCTGTGAGCTACAGCCAGACCCAGTCCCTGGCTGCTCACCTGTGAGCTACAGCCAGACCCAGTCCCTGGCTGCTCACCTGTGAGCTACAGCCAGACCCAGTCCCTGGGCTGCTCACCTGTGAGCTACAGCCAGACCCAGTCCCTGGGCTGCTCACCTGTGAGCTACAGCCAGACCCAGTCCCTGGCTGCTCACCTGTGAATTACAGCCAGACCCAGTCCCTGGCTGCTCACCTGTGAGTCACAGCCAGGCCAAAGTCTCTTCGTACCATCTGGGGGGATCCCTGGGAGAGCTCTGGTGGAGAACAAGAGGAGGGTTTAGGGAAGCACTGCGCAGAAACTGAGCAGTCAGTGCCCCAGGTCAGCACCTCCAGCATGAGGTGTCACAGGAACACAGATCAGACTGATTTGTCCCCTGTGAAGTTGCTCTTGTATTTGTTTCATATGATTGGATAAATCATGATGTTTTACATTTAGGGATTACAGAAGTCCATCTGATCAGGTCTAAGCCATTCTTAAAGTGGAAAGTCAGATTTTACTCCTAACTGGGTTACTCCCAATTGGTTTACCACAAATACCATCACCCAGTTTTCCTGCAGTGTCAGTATATTTCAGAATATTCTATCGCACTGAAAATTATCTCAATTTTCTAGACAGGGCCAGCATGACCCAGAAGAATAAAAACATACATGTGAGCTCACTTAACTTTCTGCTAAGCGCAGAAAGGGAGATCTTGACTTCCAAATGCCAATCCAGCATGCCAGTGGTTAGAGCACATAACTTCCTGAAAAATCTCCAACACTCATAGACTTCTGACATATTTCAGAAATACTGCACAGCTGAGGCAAACCCCAATGTGCAAGTTTGCTGTGTCAGCACAGCAGCAGGGCTGGCTCAGAGCCAGTCTCCTCACTTGACCATAGATGGCACCATAATCTTTTCTATCATTAGTCCAGGGAGCTCCTAAAGGCGTCTGTGATCCTCAGCCTCTTGGAAAAGGCTGGAATGGCTAGCTGCTTTTCCAAGGAATGCTGCTGGCCTAGCGTGGCCACCCAAACAATCCCAGCACAGCAGTAAAGAAGGCTGTTAACATCAGTCAGATGTTTAACCCTCACTGAATGGGTATCAACCAGTCTGGGATTGTCCGGGACTCACCAGAGCCCACAGCAGACACTTCATCTCAACCAACAGGTCTACATGAAGAGGAGCACCAAAATCCTTAATTTCTGTTTGAGTTTATTCTCATGCCTTTTTCATCTATCACACCAATTATCTCACTCTCCGCAGGGAAATGCTCAGATTTCTGCTGGCATTTTCATTTTACATCTTTCTATTTCTGAAGGAATTCCTGAGATTTTTGTTTTAAAGGGCATCAGCTATATGTGCAGTGCTTGGACTTTCATACTTGATTTTAATACTCAGACACGTTTGGACACTTTCCAAGCTGCTCCAGTCTCTCCCCATTAGCTTACAAGGTTACAGGGGGGTCTGGGACACCTCAGGATGGCTAGAACTCCCAGTGGCCCTGGAGAAACCCAGCCCTGCTCCTGCCAGCCATCACACCCACATGAACAGACTCCTCAGCACAGAGGGAACACCCCACGCTCCAGCACATGCTGCAGCTTCCTCAGAAAGCTGCATGAATGTGTCTTAACTTCATTGCAGAGACACTGGGCAGTGCATAGCCAAAGCCACTAGATGGTTAGATGTGAAATTCCTGTACCAAGAGGCATCTGTGCCAGCTGTCTGAGGTCATAGATAAGCACCCCCTGACTTTAACCCTTGAAGCATCAGTATTCCTTTGCCTTGCTTGTGTCATCCTAGAAAATACCAGGTGCACCCAAGTAAAACCCTGTGGTTCTGTGGCAGGCCAAGCTCCTGCTCAGTTAACAGAAGCTCTGGGATAGGAGGGCCCATGGAGAACCTCCAGAGGCTGCCCAAGGATGGCCAACAGGGAGCTGACAAGCACAGGTTCTTCTTTCTCAGCAAGGCACTGCAGACACCCGTGTGAGACTCTCTTACCGAACCTAAAAAGAAGAAAAGATACTTTTAGGCACTGATACTCCTGTGACAGGTACACACGTTGCTAGAGCAGCATGTGCTGTCAGGTTTACAGACACCTTTGGCTTTGCACAGGCTCCCGAGCTTGCTGTATTGCCAATATTTTCCTGCCGACAAAGGGCAGCCTTTGCCGGGGAGAGCCCCTGCTCCAGTCGCGGAGGAAACTTACTTTATTGGAGGAACTTCGTCTATCCTGTTGCCCAGCTGAGACTCGTGGGACTTGCTCCTGGTGAGGGTGGGGAAGCTGGGCAGCAGCTGGAAGACCTTGCGGCACGGGGGCGGCGGCGTCCGCGGCGGCTTCAGGCGGTGCCGGCGCTTGGGCTGCGGCGTGGCCGGGGGGGTGACGGTGATGCTGTGCGGAGTCCTGGGCCTGCCCCCGGCCGCGGGCAGCGCCAGCGGCTCCAGCAGGGTCTCTGCCGGGGGACAGGGCCCGTGGCTCGGGGCCGGCTCGCAGGGCGCGGACACGGAGCGCGGCTGCTGCTGGCCGCCCTTGGCCGCGGCGCTCGGGGACCAGGCGGGGTCCGGCGGCGAGCAGGAGCTGTCCCGGCGCTCGGGCAGGGCCATCGGCACATCGTCCCGCAGCTCCCCTCCTGTCCAAAGCAGCGGCGATAGCGTTAGTGACGGCCAGGCAGGAGGGCACCGGGCACCGAGCCCGGCCCGGGCCGCTCTGGGCTCCCAGCCGCTCCCCGGCAGGGCTGTGCTGCCCATTTCACCTGGCAATGCTCTCCCCTGAGCCTCAGCGGGGCCCCAGGCTCGGAAAACTCGGCACAGGCCCTGATTTGATCTTTTGAGAGACATATACCTGGGTTTTTTAAAATGCCATTTATTTCTAAGGGGCGAATGCTGTAACTCCTGAGCAATGGCTGGTTTATACAGTGTGGATGGGAAATATTTGACAGCCTGGGACAAGAAAGATTAGAAAAAAGGAAACGTGAGACTGAGCTGTTTGCTGATCTTTTCCATTAACTAATCTTTACCATTTGTAAATGGATGAACTGTCATAATATCAACAGGAAACATCACCTTTCAGTGACAGATTGATAACTGCTACAAAGAAAGATGTGGTGCATGTGAGTACCAGTCTGCAGGGAGAGGCTCTTGTACAAACAGATTTTACAGTGCCTGTGGAAGTGCTAGGCTGAGCTGGCAATATATGGGGAAGGCATCACCTACAAGGAATCTGGTTGTATTTAAGTAAGTCAAGGATTTGTACTGACCCATGGGGAATGAACTAGAGCATTAGACACAATTCTGAACAGAAAGGGTTAATAAGGATATAGTCTACAGAGTAGGAGAGGATTCTACATGCATTTATTTCCATTTATTTATCTGACTTGATGTCCAAACCAAACCCAACTGCCAGCTCTAGACAGGTTTGATCAGTGCACCTTCGTGCACATGCCAGAGCCACAGGCTGGTCACAGAACATGCCCAGCCAGTGTCTGCAAGGCAGCAGCTGGGGCTGGGCTGCTGGGACACCAGTGCCACAGCAGGACACGGCAGGCTGTACCTGACTCCGTCACCTTCCGCAGGCAGCTCAGGGCCCCGTTCAGCCTGGAGCACTCCTCATCCCTGGCTCCACATCTCTTCATTGTTTCTTTCACCTTTGACTCATTCATTTCTAGTAAGGCATCCAGGGTCAGCTCCTCTGGTATTCTCTGCAGGAAAACAAGAGAGTGCTTTTTTGTTGCTCTCTGTGTGTAAGTAAGAGTGTCACCTGTACTTTCAGCAGTGGCACTGTCTCACTGCCCGGGCTGACTCATGGCTCACTCCTTTTGGCAGTGCCCCTCTCTGGCACAGCCAGCAGTGCCCACAGCTGCTCTCTCCTGTGCCTGGGTGTGAGTGTGCTCTGCACCTCCAGGACTGGTCATCCTCTGCTATTCCATTTAGGATTACAGGGGATCAAAATACTCCTCCCCTCATGGAAAATTTTTGCAAGGCTACTAATGAAAGTTGATATTTTTCATTAAAAATAGGGCCAGAAATAAAACAGGTCTAACCTGAAAAAGAGTCAGATAAGAGTGTTAGGCTTTTTAGTACTGAAGTGAACAGCAGAAACTATGAGGAAAACTACTTCTTTATTTGAACAAAAAAGAAATGTTTGGACAAAGATAGTGGCCTCCTCCT